TTCAGACCAGCTCCGTGGCCCCAGTTGATCAGTCTTCCGTTGATGCAGTCAGCATCTCCCGGGGTTAGCTGGGGTGCCATGGGGCAGTGAGCCCACCTCAACAACAGCAACACCCTGGCAAGGCAGGCTGCTACCTCACACCTAACTGCACTGACCTGCATGGGCTGTGAGGTGTCTTACGAAGACTGCTGACATGTCTACTGATTGGACGAAGTCAAAGGGAGAAGGCAAATCATCAGACATCTGTGAACATTCTCTAGGATTTGCTGGGCAAATGGTTACAGGACACTAGTGTTTTGTTGAAACGAACACAAGCACAATAATTGTTTTAATTATATTGCTGCTTTAATTCTGTTTCTGATTACTGCAGGCATTCACTGTTTTCAGAATAGTGGGATCATTTTCCCCATTTACTTAAATACATTTTGTCACTTAAGTACAAGGGTTTTTAGGCTGATATAGTTCTTCTATAAGCTCATTCTCATTCTTGTCGTAATATAATACAAATAACATAAACTTTGTCATTTTAACACTTTTCTAAAATATTCATTTAATTTATTTGAAAGATAGAGTTACAGAGAAAGAGAGAGCTTAGCGGGAAGCTGTGCTAGGACTAGAAGGAGGGACCAGATCCCAGGCACTTGGATGGGCTTGCCACATGCAGCTTTATCCATCTTCAGTTTGGGCTGTTTGTTTGTTCCTAAGTTCTAGGTATTTACATGTTCTAGATATTTACCCCTTATAAGATCTATGATATGTGTTCCCACATCACACAGAACAAATTATGCATGTCTCTCCTCATAAGCGTCATGAAGGACACTTCTATGGACAAGTTAGCAAGACAGAGCATGAACATTTAATCGAAGTTTTACATGACATTAAGATTTCAGAAAGAATGACCCAGGGGAAACTATTTTTATGCTTAGGTTCAATAAATTATTGATAAACTTGTTAAAAATGAGATTGGCCCAGGGGCCAGTGCCAGTTCATAGTAAGCCAAGCCTCTGTCTGCAGTGCCAGGATCCTATATGTGTTCCAGTTTGTGTCCTGGCTGCTCCACTTCCCATCTAGCTCCCTGTTTATGGCCTGGGAAAGCAGTAGAGAATGTCCCAAAGCCATCATAAGAGACCCAGAAAAAGCTCCTAGATCCAGGCTTCAAATTGGTATGGTTCCAGCTGTTCCAGCCAAATAGGGAGTAGACCAGAGGATGGGAGATATTTCTCTCTCTCTCTCTCTCTCTCTCTCTCTCTCTCTCTCTCTCTCTCTCTCTCTCTCTCTCTCTCTCTCCTTTTCTGTAACCCTGACTTTCAAATAAAAATAAAATAAACCCTTAAGGAATAAAAGAGTTGGCTGAAGTTGACCTGTAAGTATGAGGGAATAACAGGAAACCCTGCCAGTCCTGTCTCCAGATTCTCCTGGGCCTCCCTGTAGCATCCCTTCCTCCTGCCTATGGGTGGGATCTCACTGGAAGGAGGGTCTTCCAGAGAGAAGGCAGACAATAACTCCTGAGGTCTTCAGTTCTGCTTTGGGGAAGGGAACTTCTAGTTTGTATGCATCGCTTAGAGCAGCGCGATTCTGGTTTTGACAACTTGCTTCAAAAGGAGGAAGCAGCAAGGGATCGAAGGAAGAACAACAAAAGAAGGGCATAGTTGCTTCTAGGGTATTCCCATGTCCTCCAGTTCAAAGTATTTAGCATGCCAAGGTGCCATGTTTCAGGGTGCTGTGTCCTGAGTCTTATTAGAAGTTCACTTTTTAATCAAACAATAGCATTCAATGTCTACAAAGTTCTCAGGTTGGGTCCTGACTTCTGACTCATAAGCAATTCGTCACTGTTCTACTTGAAAATGGAACATAACAGCATTAAGGAGTAAATATAACTGGGTGTGTGTCAGGATTTCAAAAAGAGCAATTACTCTTCATACAATTCAGTAAGAGAATTTCTGAGGAAGACCCAAAACAGCAGTGGTCACTGCAGCTGGATCTACTAAAGAGATATTCATTGTCTTCAGCAGTTGTTCTGGATCCAAAAGGAGAAAGAATACCAGGTGGGGCCTGGTGCCAATTGCTCCATTGGCTAATCCTCCCCTTGCAAGCGCCAGGATCCCATATGGGCACCAGTTTGTGTCCTAGATGCTCCACTTTCCCATCAAACTTCCTGCTTGTGGCCTGGAAAAGCAGCAGAGGATGGCTCAAGTCCTTGGGACCCTGCACCCATGTTTGAGACCCAGAAGACGCTCCTGACTCCTGGCTTTGGATCAGCTTAGATCCGGCCATTGCAGCCTCTTGGGAAGTGAACCAGTCGATGGGAGATCTTGCTGTCTGTCTCTCCTTCTCTCTGTAAAGCTGCCTTTCCAATAAATAAATAAACAAATAAGTCTTTTTAAAAAAGAATTCTGAATAGCATAGAATGTTCTAGACAGTTCTGTGTTGTGCAGGTGTTGAAAAAATGCTATACCTGATACTATGAACTAAAGAGATTTAGGTGGGTGGGACAAGGAAGTGATATCTGTAGTTCAAAAATCATTAACTAGCCTTCAAATTGTTAACAATCATTGGAGCATTACATATCAAGAACAGAAAGATGTTAAAGAAATGCATTAAGTTACAAGGCACACATGACAAATAAAGCAGTTCATTCACATTGATGAATAAGTCCAGGAGGGAAAAATAATCTAAAATCAAACTCCCTAGGGACTGCTGAAATGGTAACATTAATTTCCCTTGCTCACAAATGTATGTAGAGATTACGACTCAGCAAGTATTGAACGAGCTGGGTTCTTCAGACGGGAAGAAATAAGCAGTGACCTTTGGACCTCCATCACGAGACATGGCAACACAAATCGAGCTCACTGTTAGGCACCATTTCTGCTGACTTTCAGATTTCTTCTCATTTTATTTAAACATCTTCATTCAGATCACTTATAAAATTGATGTGGCTAGCTTTAGGAGGGAAGTGGTAGAAATGTTCCATTCCAGGCCGATGACCCGGGGTAGAGAACAGAAGTTCTGGCCAATGTCCGCAGAGGAAGGCCGGGAGCCCAGAAGGCGCTTCCAGGGGTGTGGACTGGTCCAGGCCCATCTGCCTGGGGGCTGGTGAGGGATGTGGAGCTGAAGGACCATCAGCAGTCTGTTAGCAGGAATCCTACACAGGACAACTCACATACACACCCTTCTATGCCCACCTAAGCTTGCTGCAGGCTTGCCCACCCTCTTCCCAGGCATGCACCTGAGCCTCATCCCCTCCGTCCTGTACGAAACATACTGATGCTCATGTGTGTGCTGCAGCTGAATGTGGAGACACCACAACACCTTCCTGAAGACCGCCACTCACACTGGAGCTCCCCTCTGAACACCACTCCATCTGTATATCTACTAGGGCACCACCCACCCATACTTTGCCTTTGAAGTTGTGGGAATAGTGTTTGAGGAGGGCAGTGAACAGCAAGGTACTCAGTTTGCCAGACTGTATCTGAGCAAGCTGCTCCTCACCCTGTCACATACCCCTCTATCCTCAGGACTTGATTCTGACCCTGATGGGTGTGCTGGCCACTACCCCTGGGCTGCTTCCAGTGCTTTGAGACAGCAAGGTTGCAAAAGGGACCGGAGCTAATCCACTAGGCACCTTCTCCATTTCTCAACCCCAAAGCCTTCCCTGATAAATCAAACACACATAGGAGCCCTGCCCTTTCCAGAAGGGAGCATGGGATCCTTCAGGCAATTGTAGGCCCACAGGCTCCAGTATGGACAGCCCCCCAGGTGAACCCAGAAAAGGCTTTGCCTTGTGGAGCTCACAGATGAAAGCCTCAGAGAGACTCCAATCTCTAGGGGAAAGAGGGGGACTTGCATGCATGGAGCATTCATCTGCAAGGATCTCTGCAGCAAATCTGCATAGACTCAGTAACTCAAATATGCACACCTGCTCTCCCTCATGGACCTAGAAACTTGAAGTCCAAAATTAGGGTGTCATGGGGCTGGCTCCTTCTAAGAGCACTTCTCCTTGGCCTGTCAATGCTATCTTCTTGCTATATGCTCCTGGGCCTTCCCTCTGCTTAGGTGCCTCTGCTGATGGAGGACACCAACCCTACTGTAGCAGAGCCTTCCTGCATCACCTCCTCCATGACCCTCTCCAAATGTGAACAGATTCTGAGGTGCTAGGGATTTGGACTACCGTGGAAGGTCTTAGTTCCAGCTGTTGCCCCTGTTCCTTGGCCTGAGTTCTGCACGTCCTCACCTGTCCCCATGGCTCCCTTGTCCATGAGTAAGCCACTATTGGGTGTTCTCTACCCCAGCAGGGCTTGCTTACAGGGAGCACATGGCCCCCACCCCGCTTTACCATGTTTTATTTGTGGTTAAGTGTGCCATGCTGCACAGGTGCACACACATTCATGCATGCACAGATCAGCTTGGTGGAAGCACAGTTTGGGGCACCCAGCTGGGTCCTGGCACTCTGGGCAGCATACCACTTCTGTGGGTGTCTGGCCCTGGCTTCATTTTTGCAGCCAAAGTTTTCCAGAGTGTCACTGGTGTGTGCCACTGGAGACTAGTTCTTGGCTGGGAAAGATCCGATGAGCCAAGATGCTCAGTGACTTATTAATTTGTTTGTTGCAAAAATATTCATGGGACACTGGTTCTGTGCCAGATGCTGAACTAAGGGATAGGGACAGGGACATAAAGTGCTCCAAGGACCCTGCCACCAGCGAGCTCACTGTGGGTAAATGAGGGAGGAAAGCCGCAGCCCAGCGTCCTTTTCCAGCTCCGGCTATGACCACGCTAGGTTTCACACTTCTATAGCAATCTTGATGTTGACCCAGGAATTAGGCCCTAAGTGCCCCCATTTCACCAAGGAAGAAACTGAGATTAACTGGACAAGTATAGATTAGGAATGCAGGTCTGCCTGCCCTGCAGCTTGACTCTCCTTGAACACACAAATGGAAGGAAAGATCTCTGAGTGTCACCTGCAGCTCTCAGGGACCTGGTGGGTTCTGGTGGTGGTGGCCCCAATGGTCTACTCATACTTCAGACCTGACAAATCAATTGCACACATGCAAGCACTTGGAGATGCCCGGGGGCTCCTTGCTGCAGCTTCCCGTAACTCTGACAGTAAGGACATGGTGAGCAGGCCAGGGATGTTCTTTGGTTTACAGAATGCCTAGGGTCATAGCTCAGACAGCTAGCAGAAACAGAGCAGTCACTGCTCAAATTCCTCCCACCCACCTCTCCTAGGAGGGGGCCCCCCAGGAAGAGGCGGGCCCTGCTGCTGTTTGCACAGATGGCCCTAATCTTGCTGGGGGGTGGAGCCTATCCAGCAGTATCCCTATTTATGTCAGGCCCCAAAGCCCCTTGCTGTGTGGCAGCTGCAAAGCCAGTCCAGTACCAAGGTCATCGCACTCTCTACATCTGCTGTCTGGGACTTCGGTCACAGAGGAGTCAGAGTCAGTCAAGGCCACCAATCATAGGAGTCATGGTAAGGGTCCATGGCACAATCCACCAGGTCATCCAGGCCATCCAGGTGGGCTGTGTCTACGACGGGTCTGTGGGCGCGTGCGGCATCATTAGGCTGGGACTAGGAACTTGAGGTTCTGAGAAGGTGCAATGTTTAGGTATGAACCAGACAGTAAAAGACCTTTGTCTTTCCTTCTCTTCGTAAATCTTCTCTGCCTTTCCAATTTAAAAAAAGTAGGGGAGAGGGGAGGCTTACCGCCAGGGCTCCATGCAGGGGTCTCAAGACACAGAAGACATCCCTGCCCTAGATGCTGCCAAGCACACAGCTTCTCCACTGAGAAGTCTGGTGGGAAAGCCAAGGACCCCTCCCAAGTCCTTGCAGCCCTTTCCTGCCCAGTGTCCCTAGCCAGGGATGACACCTTCTACCAAGCCCTTCAACAGAATCCTGAGTCGAGCTTTCCTGGGCACCTGTGATCCCTACCCCACCCCTTTGTCTAAGATTGGGTAGAACAGTCTGTGGGATGTTTATGTCTGACCCTAAAGAACCAAGACTGACCATATCAGAGATCCCCTCCACCCCCAGCCCTGCCACAGCTAGAAGTGTTTAATCCCTGAGGGGTGTTATGGGCAGACAGGAGCCTAGGTTCAAGGCTGTGGGGTGGGGGATGGGAAGTCAGGCAATCTCCGGCTGCTTATCTACTATTGGGACCCGACTGTTTGCCTGACACAGGTGCATGGTCACAAAGGGTTCCAGTTCCAAAACTGGGCTAGGACCTATGGCTGCTGTCCAGAGATGTACTATCAACCCACGTCAGTGGAAGAGATCAAAGAGGTGAGTGTGTCTCTATTTGGGGTCAAATGTCTGAACCTGGGGGGATCAGAGCCCTGACCCTGGAGAGGAGGCTGGAGATGAGGCCCCCTGGGCTCAGACCACATCACCTCCCCAGCCCAGAACTTCTGGCTGGGTGGAGTCAGCTGGATCCAGGGCTCCTGTGGCTGCACAACTCTACCCAGCTGCCACACTTCCCCTCTCTGGGCCTGCCTCCAATCTGCACCACAACGTGCCAAGGATTGCCAGGTTTTTGCTGCCAGCTCACATCTCCTCTCCACAGACTCACATGATGGCTCTTTCATAATTCAAAGCCATCCCAAAGCAATGTGTCCAGGATGACATTTCCTTTTTACCTTTAACCTAGTCTGTTCAGATGCACCTCCAGCTGGCTCCCTCTCCCTTTCTAGGGCAGCGGGTTGCATTAGCCCTCTGATCCCTTCCTGATCTTGCCGCCCTAGTCCCAACCCATGCTCCCTGGAGCCACTTCCCACATTCTGTCCTCACTCTCTCTGTTTCTCCCACTGCTACTTCTCCACCCCAGCACCTTGTTCAATTCTTGTTTTTTCTCCAGGGCCCGGTTAGTGGCCAATGAACCTTTGCATTAGCCTTTCCTGCATGAGAAGTTAGGGGCTTTGAGATCAGATCGTCTCTGAGTTGAATTGCCTAAACCCTGGATGCTAGTTACAATGGAAACATTACACAGCCCTCATGGAGCCTCATTTTGCTCCTCCATAAAATGGGATGATCACCACTCCTTGCAGAGGTGTTCTGTAGACAGATAAGGCAATAAATCCCAAGGGAGATTATCACTCCATGGTGACCTCTACTGTTAGTACGGCTGTCCCCTGACCACTCCCACGTACACAACTGCCAATCACACAGTCAGTCACACAGACCCTCGGGATGAATTTTTCCCTCTTCTGTACCCCCAGGGACCAACATCAGCATCCTATGAAGTAGGCTGTGGATATATGCCTCTTAGGTATTAGCTACAAACCTTCCAAAGTTAGAGATGGGGTTTCATTCATTCATTCATTCCCATCACTTATTCATTCATTCAACAAATATTTGTTAAGTCCTTCCTGTGTGTTAAGGCCAGTGCTGCCAGGTGCTGAGTGTGTGACAGAGAACAGTATGAGCACAGGCTGAAGTCGTTACAGGAGCAGAGAGACACAAGCAAGAGAACAAAATTTTGTTCAAGTCAACAAAATTCCTGAAAGTTAGGAGCAGGCGATGGAGAAGTACACATGGAACTGAGATACAGAAAATGGGGGTGTACTTCAAAAAAGGAGGTCTGTGAATCTTCCTGGCAAGGTGCAGTTCGCCCTGCGATTTAAAGGCTGGAAGGCAGCCAATCGGGTGAAAAATGAACAAAGGGCCATTCCAGGTGGAGTAGGCAGCCAGGGCCTGAGGCGGAAAAGAGCTGGCTTGTTCTGTGAACTGAAGGAAGAGCCACAGGGCTGGAAGTTGGTGAGCCATGGAGAGAGGGACCTTGGGGAGGCCAAAAGATGGGCCAGAGGATGATGAGCTGGAAGGTCCAGAGGTAAAGCTTCATGCCTTAAATGATAGAATGCCTCTGAGGGCCTCTAAGTAGGGAAGTCACCCAATCCAGCTTCATCCAATCAGAAGCTGAATGGCTAGAGTAAATTTGGCATACATACCCAATGGAATATTACTCAGACATAAAGATGAAATCCTGTTATTTGCAGAAAAACTGGATGGAACCACAGGCTACTATGTCAAATGAAATAAGTCAGACACAGAAAGACAAATATTCTATGTTCTCATCATATGCAGGAGCCACATCTACAGACAGTCTCTAAGGCCTGCTGGCCTCTCTAACAGGATGAGATCATGGTAGGTCAATGCTTCCATAGAGGGCTAGCAGAGTAGGTTGTGCAGTAAAGGAAGCTGCCAGAAAATGAAGTTAAGTGCATCAGATGTCATTGTCATAGGGTCTTGCAGCCTTGGTGGGTGGGGAGAGGATATGGAGAATTTCCTGGTCTCACTTGCCCATGAAGGCCTTCATGGTATGAATTGTCATACTAATGCTCCCCAGCACAGACACACGAGTGTTTGAGCAGGGATCTGATGGTGAAAGTGCTTGGATCCACTGAAGTGACATCATGCACCTGTTCATTCAGTGGGCATCAGACACTATTTGCTTGTACTAGGTTGGGGCAGTCACTAGAGCTGTAAAGTGGAATTCCATTGAGGACTCTTTGTTGTAACGTGACAGTCTGACATCAGGGTCTTATCACCAACAAAAGGAAGGAATCTTAATCCCATCCCTAGAACCCTGTAGCACCCTTGGGAGGTTTTGCACTGGTCAACATGTAATGATAAAGTTTGCCTTTAGAAAAGCTTCATGCTGCACATTTGTAGAATGAGCCAGACCTGTGGCCCTTGGTCCTCTGTCTCCTTCACTTCCTGGCCCTCTCTCTGGCTTGCTTAGCAGGAGTGACTAGCACAGCAGCCCAGAGCCAGACTGGAAACCCATGGGTGAATTCCTTGAGCCGGGCGCCCCACCTCCCCCCACCCCTGCAGGCCCAACCAGACCCCTGCAGGCCCAACCAGACCCCTGCATGCTCTCTGGCTACCTCTGGAGTGAAGAAGACCTGACCTTTGCTCCCATCCTGGCAGGTGCTGGCCCTAGCCAGACAACAGAACAAGCGAGTGAAGGTGGTGGGCGGTGGCCACTCTCCCTCAGACATCGCCTGCACTGACGGCTTCATGATCCACATGGGCAAGATGAACAGGATTCTCCAGGTATCCAGAGCCTCAGCTCTCAGCCTCTGCTTGCCCCAGCCTCAGCCTCCATCCCAGGCCATGGGAAGAAACAGAGCCCTCGGGCCTCCTCCTCACCCTGCCCGCTGCTACCTCAGAGGGATGCTCTGATTCCTGCACTCACTCTGCCTCTCTGGTCAGTTGGGCCTGGCTCCCTTGAGGCTACACAAAGCATGTCCACCACTGTCCCCCTTGGCCCCCACCCTACCAAATCCCCTCTCTCCACTCCTCTAGAACAGGTGAGTCAAGTCTCTGAAAGGTAGGGTTACAGTGACATGCAGAAGGGCTCAAAGAGATGCTTAGCTAGTTTGACAGAGGGAGAAATTGAAGATCAGAGTGAGGGGGTTGCCTGGGGTCGCACAGGAGCTGGGCACAGCAAGAGCTGAGCACAGCCCTGAGGCCAGCTCCACACTGAGACACTGCGTGTGCCATGCAACCAGCACCTGGTGGACAGCCCTAGCAGGTCAGGGTGCCAGCCAGGTGTGATCTCCTGTCCTAATCAGCTGGGATCAGCTTCCTAAAGCTGTCATTTTTGTCAAATCAATAACCTCCCCTTCCCCTAACACTGATAGCAGGGCGCTAGATGTCTCTGTATATCCTCATTTGCCCAGGCTGACAACCTTCCCCTCTTAGAAAATACTCAGTCCAACACATCAGGTATGGCAGAGTGCCTTGTTGTTCCCACCTCTGGGGAGGGTTATCTAGAACATTTCTGAAGTTTCAGCTTTCCTAGCTTCTCTGTCACCCTTGGCTGCCTGCAGCAGGAAGAGATTCAAGTTAAGCACAGGCTGGGACAACTCACATTGAGCCTTCCAAGGGACCCAACCAGACACGGGGCAGGGACTGGGAGCCAGCCCAGCTTCTCCAAGTCTGTTTTGGGCTCTTGCAGGTGGACAAGGAGAAGAAGCAAGTGACTGTGGAAGCTGGCATCCTTCTGGCTGACCTGCACCCACAGCTGGACAAGCATGGCCTGGCCCTGCCCAAGTAAGAGCCCCTCCGCACTGCCCAGTATATCAGAGCTGCCTGTAGCCACCGTGCTGTGGCCTGTGTCAGATACCCAGAAGTCCAGAAGGACCCAGAGAGGAAGGATTCCCATGGTGCATCCCCTGTGTGCCACAGCCCCTGTGGGAATACAACAGAACAAAGCTGGGCTTGAAATACAAGTCTTGGTCAGGGATTGGGTTGTCATGGATTAGGGGTTTTTTTTATTATTATTATTTTATTGGAAAGGTGGATATACAGAGAGGAGAGACAGAGAGGAAGATCTTTCGTGCGATGATTCACTCCCCAAGTGAGCGCAACAGCCGATACTATGCCAATCCAAAGCCAGGAGACTCTTCCGGGTCCCCCACGCGGGTGCAGGGTCCCAAAGCTTTGGGCTGTCCTCGACTGCTTTCCCGGGCCATAGGCGGGGAGCTGGAAGGGAAGCGGGGCTGCCGGGATAGAACCGGCGCCCATATGGGATCCTGGGGCTTGCAAGGCGAGGACCTTAACCACTGCGCCACTGCGCCACCGCGCCGGGCCCCATGGATTAGGGGTTTTAGAAAACTTACAACTACAGCTCTAAGGAAGACATTGACGGTAGACAGGAACTGCAAAGGATCCCCAAACCAGGGCAAGCTGGCCTCCCCTCAGGCATGAACTTCCCATCAGGCTGCTGAGACACAGGAACTGAGACCCTGAGACAAGGGCCAGCCTCACCAATAATGGTCTGGAAGAAATCCCAGACAGGAGTTTCATGAGCCCTTCTGTCCCAAGGGGCAGCCAGTGTGCCCTGTGCCCACTGTCCCTAACTGGTCTTTGGGGCCCCTCTTCCTCCCTCCTGCTGAGCCTAGTCTGGGAGCCGTGTCAGAAGTGGCTGCAGCTGGTGTCATCGGGACTGGAACGCACAACACAGGGATCGAGCATGGCATCCTGGCCACCCAGGTGAGTGTACCTGCTTCCACAGTAGAACTGACTCATTTCTGCGTGGGCCTGAAGCCCACCCAGCATCCCCTATGGGTAGACACTCAACAGGTGCCCCTAGAAGCATGAGCCTCATACACCCACCATGGCCATGATGACTGAGGCGTTTCCAAGCATGTCAGTGCTCCAACACTCATAGAACACCTGCTGACTATTGCTTGCCAAGAGCCAGCATGCAGTAATGGGCAGGCATGACTTGGAGGTGCCATCCCTTCTGAAAGTGCCTGTAGGGAACCAGCAGGAAAACAGGACTCTCTAGGTCAGTGGCACAAGAGGTAGCAGATGTACATGGGAGCATGGAGTCTCCCACCTGCCCTTTACCAAAAAGCAGTTGGTAAATTCCAGGAGCACCGTTTTGGAGCACAAACCTGGGTTCAACCCTGGTTCCACTTCTTGTTGGCTGTTGTCCAGGCATCCCTGGGAAGATCATCATTGAAAATGAGCATATTTTCAACGTGCTAGGCTCATTTAGAATCCTAGATTCATGAGGAGGAAATGAGATCACAGGAATAGGAGGTACCTCCCTGGGGAGTGCAAGCAGCTTTAACTTATGATGTTAGAAGAAGGAGCCTTGAAACTCTCAGGGACCTTGTCAAAGAGAGGCTAGTGGTAACCAGCAGTTAGGGTGACACAACAACCTCCCCCTCCCTACAAGACTTAACCCCAGTCTTAGTCTCTGTTCAGGATCGATGTTTCCACCTTCTCCAAAATGACCTGCAGAGTCTGAGCATAAACCTGGGTGGCCACATGTTCATGTCTACGCCAGACTTCCTGACCACCTCTCCCAGGAAACCTACCTGGGCCAGCCTGGGAACCAGGAGAGAAGCCCACGGCTTCATTTTACACTCATGCCGATGGCAGGGAGCAAGGATGAAGGGACTGGCAACCCTAGTGTCTTCCAGATGCCAGGCAGGTGGTTACATCTGTGACACAGCCCCTCATTTGATTCTTACCGAGTCCTCTGAAATACGTCCATCCCACTGCGAAGGAAGCAAAGAGGTTGAATAATATACACAGCCACACAGCATGTCAGTACAATGTCCACCCTTTTTTGATCCTATGAAGGGTTTCACAGGCCAGTTCCTGGTCTCTGCTCCAAGTGTGAGAGTCTTACTTTTGTTAAAATCAGTGTGACGCCTTGGCTTACACAGATGGCCAGTATGCCCCATTTCTGCCAGCGGCTCCTCTCTGGTCTTTAGTCACCGCTAATCAGAATTAGTTCAGCCTTATCTGTCCTCTCAGCCCAAGTGCCCAGCTGCCAACCTCATGTGTCAGAAGGAATTTCCATCCAAAGGAGCAGGTCATAGAGGCTGGAGAGGCCCTCAAGCCCTTGAAAGAAGGTCCCTCTGGAAATGGGGCTGAGAGATAGGGGTAATCATTAGTTTCCAACTGCAGATCTGAGTTCATGCAGAAACCCAAGGGTTATTGGTGGACTACGGTTGGATAAGAGAAGCTAGGTCCTCAGGTCAGGGATCCCTGGAGGAGAGGAGGACCAAGGGTGGTTGAGAAGCTGTCTGGAAGCAGTCACAAGTAGCAGGGGGCTGTGGGACCTTGTTTTAGGACACTGGCACGACAAGCCTGACCAACCCCAGAGGTCCACACCCGCTCACTCTGCCTTCCTGAGCACCTTGACCCAGGGACACATGGCTCTTTGCAGTGTGGTCATCTCTTGGACTCCTCCAAGCAGAGAAACACCTGCTGCCCCGGGAACCATGAGGCCTGCAAGATAAGGATAATAGCAACCCAGGAGGATGGGCCAGCAGCATCCCCCGTAACCTCTGCCTCCCTTCTCCCAGGCATTCCTCTCTCTCCCACTACTGTGATTCATCAGGTTGTGAACAGGAGACGTGGCTGGGAAAAGTCCCCCGGCCAGATGACAAAAATCCTCTGGACACACAGGCGAGTGAGGGCAGCAGCTGTAGGGGTCCTAACTCATCGCTGTTCTCCCAGGTGGTGGCACTGACCCTGCTGACAGCCGATGGCACCATTCTGGAGTGTTCCAAGTCAAGCAATGCAGAGCTATTCCAGGCTGCACGGGTACACCTGGGCTGCCTGGGAATCATCCTCACTGTCACACTACAGTGCGTGCCCCAGTTCCACCTGCAAGAGACATCATTCCCTTCGACCCTGAAGGAGGTACTGGTCCCCTGCATGTTGCCACTTAGCCTCAGAAAGTCCATGAAGGACCTGGTCAGGCAGGTCACGCCCACTGCCAGCCTCAGGCCCCACACTAGAGGATGTTGCCCTCGCCACCCTTTCCTTTGACCCCAGGGATACTTTGGCCAAGAACCCTTTCGAGCAGGTCAGTAAAACTCAGAGGAACTGTGGGGTTTGTAAAGAGTGGCTAAGAAAGGGGGCTGAGTAGAGACAACACCGAAGAAAAGTGTGAGCCAACAGAGAACTGGAGTAAATGTCAGGCAATGCCAAAGGCTCCATGCAGGGGGTTCCAACTCTCATGATGAGGGACGGGAAGGATGGCTTAAATTGATAACAGTGTTTTTTTTTTAATTAATGAAAACACATTTCTATTGTTCATTCGGCAGTGATGGATGGATGAGTGGGTGGATGATATGCAATTGGCCTGAAATACCTAGAGGGCCTTTATCTACCTCATGTTCATTTCTCAGCTACAGGACTTACACCTGTGGTTCCAAGTTCCTTAGAGTTCAGGTTATTCACCTGTCACCTTGTCATTCCAAACTTGCAGGCCTCTGCACAGCAGGATTTAGCAGTGCTGTCAGCAACATCAATTCAGCTGCTCATGGGAAAGACTGTGAGCTTCGGGGTCAAATGAACCTGGCCCTGCCACTCCTATGCTGTGACCTGCAACCAGTCAATTAACATTGCTGAGGCTTCATTTCCTCACCTAAAAAGAGAATTAGTCATATTTACCTTAAAGTATTGAATCTGAGGGTGAAACCAAGTGATGCATATAAAGTGTCTAGTTTAGTATTAAAACCTACCTTCATGGAACTCAGTAAAAGATAAATGAAACAATTATCTTTTCTATTATATTAGCTACAGGGAAAGAGCTTTAAGTCCAGAAGACCCCTATTTACAGGTGTGAATGAAACAGAAATATCTCCCAACATCCCCAAACTGGTGATTGTATAGCTTTAATCCTGAGCCCTCATGGGCTGTTTAACAAATGAGCTGACTGATATCCTGACCCAGAAGAACAGGGCAAGCTCAGGTAAGGGCATTCCACAGAACTGATGGGCCTGCCAAGGCATGACTAGGGCAGGAAGCACCAAGAGGGCGGGGGCAGGGAGGCAGACAACAGAATGAGGAAGGAATGCTGGGTGTCTGGTGTACTCAACTCCAACAGGAGCTGTCCTAAACTCTGAGCTCTTTGGAGCCATACTGTCCCAACCCTTGTTCCCCAAGACCCCACAGAGGGACACAGGCCTGGCTAGTGCTAACCAAGTGCCTGGTACCACTCAGCAATCACTGACTGCTAGGGTAGAGGTATACAGATCCCTATAGCATCAAGTAGTCATTCAATGTTGGAACCACCCTGGCAACAGAACAGGTCTCTTTCACGGGCCAGAGCCAAGGAAAGGATTCTGAGATGTTGACTGCTTGAGTCTAAAGCCCCATGACCTAAGCCCACTGCTGACTGGCAAACCCAAAGCCTATCTACACTTCAGCTCAAGGCTCGTCCCGTATCAGCCCGACAGGTTTCAGAGAGACATAATTTGCCACATTATATTATCTTGACATGTGTGATAACGAGCCATATCAGAGCAGAACTCACCTAGTCACTTTATTAAGGACCCTACTGTTGGTCCAGAAATAAGAGATGATGTTGATGGTGGTGGTTACGACAATAGCCTAGGAGGCGGAAGGCTGTAAGCAGGAGTGCAGGCCTGGCTAGTGCTAACCAAGTGTCTGGTACTGTTGGTAGCATTAGCTCATTGGATCTTTATAGCACTCCAAGGTACTGTATTGCTCCATTTTTCAGCTGCTCTCACCAGAGACTCAGAGATGTTGCATAACCTTCCCAAACTCCTACAGTGAGTTGTCACTCAAGCCAGAAACAAGTACAAATTCCCTCTTTCCTCAAAATGACTCTAGAAAGTCAACGTGGAAGTTAACCACCCTCATGCCCAGTGCACTGAAATAGCCTTCACGTGCCATTTAGCAATGTTAGGACAACATTGAGCATTTTTTTTCTCAAGGGGGAGAACAGCGGCACATCCAGACCCTAACTCCCACGGCTCCCAGCCATCTCTGTGGGACCAGCGCCATCTCTCCCCTTTCCTCCTACGAGCCAGGTCCTGGACAACTTGGACAGTCACCTGAAGAAATCCGAGTACTTTCGCTTCCTCTGGTTCCCACACACGGAGAACGTCAGCATCATCTACCAGGACCACACCAACAAGGTAGCCACAACTGCATGCCTGTCCCTGCACAGCATCCTTGAGCAGGTGGCACCTGGGGACGAGCATCCTCCTCCTTATACTATCCTACATCCTCTCTGCTCCCATGTGGCCAATATGCACCTCCCGACGGGCAGGGAGCAGGTAACAGGGGTGTGTCACTGAGCATGAGGAAAGAAGGCCAGAGGATCCTAGGAAAATGAAAGTAATGACCCACCATGTCTGTGGCAGGGATCTGTAAGGCTGTGATCAACAGACAGTCCAGATGCAGAGGAGGGAAGCAGAGGACAGGAAAACATGCCAGACAGGGTGGGAGTGATGGGAGCTCTTGGCAGCTGAGCCAGACCTTAGGAACTATCTCAACCCTCCCCAGTTCCCTCCTACATCCCCTTCTGCCCCACCTCCACGTGTACCAGTACAGCCAAGAGGCTGACAATTTCTTCTCTTTCCCAGGCAAGCTGTTCCTTAGTAGAAGAAAGCAAAGCTATACTTGAGGGGCATATCAGAGACAGGGCATGTTAGATAAAGACCATATCGCATGAATCACAAGAGGAGCCCATGGTCCATAAAGGTTAAACATCTGTCCACCGGGTATTGAGAGAAGGGACAGATGCATGTCTGTGTCTTATAAAAAAAGAAAAACAGTGTATAAATGCTTAAAGAAAGGCACAAGATGAAAGGAGAGGGGACATGGGAATTAGTTATGTCACTGGAAACTGAAGGTGGGTGGGTTGTTCCTCTTCCCACCCTCCACAAAAAGCCACTCCAGGGATGCTCGCTTTCTTAGGGACACCATGAGGAGTAGGTCAGAAGACAGCTCTGGTCCCCAACTGATGTCAAATTCTGCTTCCTAGCCCCCTTCCTCTTCAGCGAACTGGTTTTGGGACTACGCCATTGGGTTCTATCTCCTGGAGTTCCTGCTGTGGACCAGGTAGGAATGATGGACACTTGAGCTTGAATGCACGCTAAGCAGATCTGCCTCTTGGGTTGAAGGCAATTAACTTCCAAGCCTAACCATCCTCTGTCAGTCACATGGGGAGCTTTCAGGAACAATTTGAGCCCACAAGCTTGACCATTTCCCCCATTCCCCTGTGGTCAGGGGGCTAAAATCATCATAGGTTCCCAGCCCTCTCTCCTGTCTGGAAGGCCTTTTTGCTGCTGGCCTTGCAACTGGCCTATTTCCTGCTGTGCCAAGCTCAGACCTGGCACCTTCTCTCAGGTCCTCAAGCCTCACCTCTCCTGTGTTCTTCCCCTTTTTAGTAAGCCACAAACTGCCAGGACTTCCTATCCAGTTCTCCCAAAGCCAGCAAGATGCCACCCTTGTCTTTGTTTCAAGTCCAAAGCCTGACATGATGGATGGTTCCATGAAATGGGAGAATGAATGGACCAGCTGTGTGTGGCCTGGGAGGGAGATGACCTTGAGGACTCTGACACTGGGAGGAACTTCCAAATGACACTCAGCAGCATTGGCCCAGTAGACACAGTTCTTAGCTCTGGAGTTAAGAATAATAATTAGAAAACTAGCAAATAGTGCTGTGACAGTATCACAGCCAGAGAGGTTTATCCAAGGCACAATTATTGCTGATTGAAAAGTAAATAGGAAACAATGCTTGGGGTGGAACCATGTTACACAGGCCATCCCAGGGAGTGAGGGTAAAGCCAGGATCTGACAAAGCAGTGTAAGCTTCAGGCTCAGGCAGGAGGCAACCAAGGGATCCCAGGATGAAGACCCTGCACCTTTATGTGAACTTAGCCCGCAGGTCCTCTGTTCTTTCTTTTAATGTAATATGATCTCAGCTGATGAATCCCGCAGATGATTATTTACCTGCATGCCATGTGAAAAAAGGGTGACTCCACCCTCACCTGCAGGGCCTGAGATGACACAACCTTGGGCTTCTTCATGTTGCTAGGATCAAAGGGAAGCAGGTGAAATGGCAAGATCTGACCTCTCTGGTCCAGGGGACCTTTCCAGCTATGTAAGATCCCCCTGGTCTCTCTCCTCTCTGCACTCCAGAACCTGTCCATGCAACCCTCCACCGAGCCCTGTGCCCATGCCCGGCCCCAAAGGTTCTGAACTTGATGGGCTGAAAAACTTGCTCTGATTGATGCCAGCTGAAGTTACCACCATCCATCCATTTACCCTCATGCCCCTCTCTGCGTGGGTGGCTGGGATCGTCAGCAGATGGGGCAATGTGCTGGGTTTACTGTATTCCAGGCATGACCCTAGGTCCTGGGCATGTGTTGCTTCTTTTTGCTTTTGCTACATCCCAAGTGGGCAATGCACTCATCCTTAACTTACAGAGGGAGAAACTGAGGCTCAGAGAGGTCTGTTCAGAGTTCCCGGTGAACTGGGAGCCAGGCTGTAATTTTTTTTCTCCCAAGTCAGACATGCATGAGAAACACAGTCTGGAGACCTGCCCATTGTCAGGGCACTTCTAGTCAGGGCAGACAGTGGCCATGTGAGATCTGAATTCAGCAATCAGGAAAACTTAGCCTTGCTTTTAGGAATTCAGTCTCTCTCGTGTGCAAGGGAGTTGCAGCTGGCATCAGTAGGGTCCTACAAACCATCAAGAGGAGCAGGTGCCTAGAAAACGTGAGGAAAGGAAACATAGGATGTGACTTTGCCGCATCCTGGCAGGAAAGGCCAGGGAGCAGTACGGGCATCGGCCTGAAGGGCAGTGCCTCACGCACATGATGAATTCAAGCCTGCGAGAGGAAAGTGCCCCGTAGGCTTTCTCTCCAGGGCTGCAGCTTCCATCACAGCAGTTTGACAGCTTTACGTGCCTGCATCTGCTGTCTGCCACATAAATTGGGCTGTAAATCACAGTTGCCATATCCCAGCCTCCCTCCACAAAGCTGCCAGAAAGCTGCAAGTCCCCTGGGACTCTGGCTTAGCTGCTGCTGGCTTCACCCCAGCAGCTCTGCATGTTCTCTGGGCTGGGCACTGAGGGGAACGGGAAGGAAAGCATTGGGCAATGGCTGGGAGATGGGGTCCTAGCTAATTCTCCCTAAGACTGACTGTATGCCTGAAGGTAGGACCCTACTTCTCTATGACCCTCTATCCCCAGTGCCCCAACAGCACCTGGCACCTGCAGAAGGCTCATAGTGAAAGAAATGCCATGTGACAAGCTGGGGCTCTGCCTACCAGGAAACACCTGCCTTGAGAGCAAAGAGGATCCCTTCCCCAGGGCATCCAGAGACATGGGCAACTTGGGGCAGTGGCAGGGGTTGCAGGCAAGGCACCCCAATGGACCTGGGCTCTGATTTCCCTGCCTCGATTGGCTGCTGAGTGACTCTGAGTAAATCTGTGCCGAGGCTCACTCACACATAAAGTAGACTTGTAAGCACCAAGATGGGAGGTTTTGGGGTCAAGTTGCTGTGAAGCTTGTCTGCGAGACAACACTGTGCTTGCTCAGGCCCAAGGTGAGGACCTCACTGCCGGTTCTCTGTCACCTGTAGCAACCCAGGTGATGCTCTGAGCAGAGAGCAAGTACCAGCTCCGTTCCTTCCTCCAGGCAGGCACAAGGATGCCGAGTCTGTCACTGTACCAACAAGGAGAGCCGATTCTCTGCACTTGCTTCCTGATACGTCTACAGAGAATATTTATAGATATATTGAGAGGGGAAGAGAGAAACTTAACCTTCAGAGAAATTGGAATTAAAAGATTAGCTTTTTTGGTGCAAAAAAAAAAAAGAAAGAAACCTTTAGGAGCCATAGTTTTTTATAATATGTGTTTTCCAGGAACTTTTTAAAGAGCACCTCTTTTGCATGTGTTTCAACAGCTTTTTGCCCCAAAATAATCTTATTTCTTAATTTCATTTTCTGTGACTCTTTAAAATATCCTTGTGTGTGTGTATGTGTGCCAGAATACGTGTACATGTGTGCATGTGTGTTGTGTACATGTGTATAAGTGTGTATTGTGTAAGTGTGTAGATGTGCATAAATGTATGTGTGTAGATAAATACATGTACATATGTTTGTGCATTAGTGTATGTATATATGTGTGTGTTTGTATGTACATATCTTTGTATGTGTGTATGTTTCTATGTGTACACTTATGTGTATCTGGGGAGGAGAAAGGGGGTGTTGAGGCATAGATTTTGAAGACCATGACTTGGTGAATGAGTTTTCTAGAACAAAAAAACCAGATGGCAGGATTGTTCCTGGCCCGAGAATCACAGGGCCCTACTGTTGAACTTCCCCGGAAAGTTCTAGCAACATTCCTAAGGACAAGAACCTGAGACTCAGGCTCCCAATCCCCTCCCAGGACTTCTGCCCCCACAGCACCCAGTCCTGGCTGTGCGAGCAATCAGGCCTCCCTGGCTGGCAGGGGGCAAGTTCCCCCAACTCTGACGGAAACCAACCTGGCAGTAGCCAGAGGCCGAGTACTCCTCACCCTTCACCCCGGCAAGCTGGTGAGGCTTTGGAGCCCAGAGATTTGTCACATTCATGTTGTGGTGTGTAGTGGCAGTGATATGGAAGACACCCCCAAAAAGCCATAAGTAAGTATGGGAGGCAGGGAAGAGACATGGCGCGGCCATAACCCAGCACGCCGGGCACGTTGGGCACGGCAGGTGTCGAGGCTCCCACCCGCACCCAAGCACAGCCCCGATGCCTCCCCTGCCTGCTCCCACAGCACCTTCCTGCCGTGCCTCGTGGGCTGGATCAATCGCTTTTTCTTCTGGCTCCTGTTCACCCGCAAGAAGGAAAACAGCAACCTCAGCCACCGCATCTTGACCTACGAGTGCCGCTTCAAGCAGCACGTCCAGGACTGGGCCATCCCCAGGTAGGGCTGTGCCCTACGGCCAGGCTCCGGGGGCTGCAGTAGAGGGTACGGGGGTATAGAAGCGGGGTCAGCGGCCACACTCTCCCCTCTGCCTTCTGGATGGATGGGGTCTCAGCTCCTATTTGCTAATGAGGCTCCTCTGAGTGCCCCCAGACTACGGCTGGTAGAGGCCTTAGCTCTGAGTCTCCAGCGGGAGCTCCTGGGACTCAGCAAGCCCAGAGGTCCCCTCCTCGCCCAGCCTGCCCCTCCCAGCTTCCAGGTGGGGCGGTGGCAGCAGGCTTGCGCTGACAGCTTCCTGGCTAGCTGCCTATCTGTCTAAAAGGTCGCCCCCTGCCGTCCAACTGATCCAGACAACCCTGCAGGTAGGAATATCACAAAAACCAATGAGGACGATTTATTACGAAGGACACACAGGGAGCCAAGAACACTATGGTTGGGGATCAGAGGGGTACCCTGATTTAGCAGGACCCTGTCCTCTATCATGAAGCAGGGCTCTGGCTCAGCCACAAGGAATGGGAGTGTGCCCCAGGCCGGCTGGAGGAGGCCTGGGAGGCGGTGGCTTTGGTCCCTCTCCCTGCTCAGGTCTGCGTTCTGTGCAGAGAGAGAACCAAGGAGGCCCTGCTGGAACTGAAGGCCGTGTTGGAAGCCCACCCCAAGATGGTGGCCCACTACCCCGTGGAGGTGCGCTTTGCCCGGGCCGATGACATCTTGCTGAGCCCCTGCTTCCAGAGAGACAGCTGCTACATCAACATCATCATGTACAGGTGACACAAACGGCCTCGTTCTCATTCTCAATCTTTCTCTTTTTTAATTTGTTTTAATTTTATTTGAAAGGCAAAGTTATAAAAAGAGAAGGAGAGACAGAGAAGTTCTTTCATCTGCTGGTTCATTCCCCAAATGGCTATAATGGTCAAAGCTAAGCTGATCCAAAGCCAGGAGCTAGGAGCTCCTTCCAGGTCTTCCACGTGGGTGCAGGGTCCCAAGGCTTCAGTTCATCCTCTATTGCTCTCCCAGGCCACAAGCAGGGAGCTGGATCAGAAGTAGAGCAGCTGGGACATGAACTGTTGCCCATATGGGATGCTGGCACTGCAGGCTGAGGCTTAGCCCATTGTGCCACGTCGCTGGTTCCACATTCCCAACCTTTCCAAGTCAGTTCTAGGGTCCCTTGCTCTGGGGATACATCACTGATCTTGGCAGTAGGAGCCAGCCTCTCTCCTTTGAGTTTTCCTGTAACACTTACTCTCTGCAGACTCTTAGGACATGAGCTACGTCCTGTCTATATGACGATAACATCTTCAGAACTCACAAACTGAACGGCTACCCTCCAGGACTCATGTTACGGAATGGCAGATACATGTTCTCACCCCGGCCTGCTGGGGTCAGTGATTCCAGGCTATGTCAGGAAAGCTTCCGAGGCCAGGTTCAAGTTCATTAGAAGAGAGGATGATACTTGACGTTCAGTGCCTGCCCTGGATGCCTTCCCCACCCCACCCTGCCCCACCGGCTGGACTGCATTTACACTGTCCTAGCTGGTTAGGTAGTGGCATCCAGATCGGGGCCGATGCCTGCACGTGATTTAAGAAGTTCATCTTTACAATGTCTTGCCTCATGCATGCCATCTTTGCCTTTCTCCTTCCTCTCTCCTTTCAGCCGTCCTGACACTCACTGGGGTGTATTCCTCCAGCATTGAACCCTGAAACATTCAGCAGACCCAGGGGACAGTGAAGGCATGCACACCCCAGGGCGATCCCAGAAAGCCAAACAGAAGTTCCTGCAGCATACACTCAGCAGGCCTGGAGGAAATGCCACAAACCCAGGCTCAGACCTCACCTGTCTGTACACTTATCTAACCCCTGCCTGCAGAGTCAAATTCACAAGTGAGAAAGCAGGCCCAGCACGATAGCCTAGTGGCTAAATCCTTGCCTTGCATCCACTGGGATCCCATATCTTCATGTCCTGGCTGCTCCAGTTCCCTTCCAGCTCCCTGCTTGTGGCCTGGGAAAGCAGTCGAGGACAGCCCAAAGCCTTGGGACCCTGCACCTGCATGGAAGAACTGGAAGAGGCTCTGGGCTCCTGGCTTCAGATTGGCTCAGCTCTAGCTGTTGTAGCCACTTGGGGGGTGAACCAGCACATGGAAATTCTTCCTCTCTGTCTCTTCTTCTCTCTGTATATCTGCCTTTCCAATTAAAAAAGAAGAAGAAGAAGAAGTTAGAAAGTCACTATGAGGACATAGATTTCTATATGGTCATCTGAAATTGTTTTATTAGATATTTATTTGGAAGATGCATGGGGAGGAAAGACAGAGAAATCTTCCATCACTGGTTCACTCCCCCAAATGGCTATTACAGCCAGAGCTGAGAAGATCTGAAGCTAGGAGCTTTTTCTTGCACATGGGTGCAGGGTCCCAAGGACTTGGGCTATCCTTTGTTGCTTTTCCAGGCAGGGAACTGGATTGGAAGTAGAGCAGCTGGGACAGGACCCAGTGCCCATATGGGATGCCAGCATTGCTAGCAGAGGCTTAGCCTACTGCAAACCATGTCACTGGCGCCCTGTTAATTAAATTTCTTAAAATGAAGCCAGACTTTTTCTGTCAATCTGATTTGGTGGAAAGATTGGGTGGGAGGCCTGACATGTGTTGTCAGCTGAACACATAACCACATTTTCCGTACATCAAGTGAGGTGCTTCTGAGATTCTAAATCTGTGACAAAAAGATGTCCAAAGCAGTGTGCTTAGAGGAGCGTGCTTAGAAAGGACCTGGGAGAAGGAATAGCTACAGTTCAGAGATGAGTTTAGAGATGGGTGTTCAGCCCAGATTTTGACCTGCCACTCAGGGCCCCTGCGTCTCAAAGTAGACTACCTGGTTCAAGTCCAGGCTTTCTACCAATGTGCACCCTGGGGTGTCCTCAGTACAGGTGCCATGGGTTATGGTTCAAGTATGTAGGTACTGCCAGCCACGTGGGAAACTTGGGTGAGTTCCCAGCTCCTGGCGTCAGCCTGGCCCAGGCCCAACTGTTGCAGACATTTGGGGATGGAAGATACTTTTTTTTCTCGTTCTCTCTCTTTCAAATAAAATGAAAATAAAGAAATATGTTTCAAAGGATAAATATATGCACACACAATTGCACTTGTTAAATCCCCTCTAGATTATTCATAACAACTCAGTGTAGGTGCTATGTAAATAGTTGCTACAGTGTATTACTCTGGGAACAACAAGAGAAATGCCTGCACCTCTTCAGACACGTACATGTGTTTTGGGAACTTTCTGGAATTTTTTGTTTTCAAACACTGTCAATCAGTGGGCAGATGTAGAATGCACAGTGCTTGCTGGCATGTGTGTACACATATCCTCTGAAGCTATTTAAGTTCACAAAAGCTTTCAGATCACCAATTTAAAAATGCAGACTCGGACATACACTGTTCAGGATTTGTGGGAGATAAACAGTAAGCTAAAGGTGTCTGGAGGTCAGGTCGCTGCTTCCCTGCTTCCTGCAGGCAGGGCCTCGACCTTGGTGTGGCCTTCATCTCCGCAGCCATTGCTAAGCGCAGGCACAGGTACCTGATGACCACGGGTGGGAGATGAGGCCACAATGAGGGCAGGGGCTCACCTCCTTCTGCCCCTTCCCAGGCCCTATGGCAAGGACGTGCCACGGCTGGACTACTGGCTGGCCTACGAGACCATCATGAAGAAGGTGGGGGGCAGACCCCACTGGGCCAAGGTGAGAACTCCGGGCAGTTTCCTCCAACCCCTGCCGGACCAGCGAGGGGGCTGCTGTGCACGCGGCTTCCACCAAGGGCACCTCTTTTCCACGCTGCTGTGGTGCTGGGGCTGACTATGGCCACCTCTCTGGTCCCTCAAAATGCCTCTTCTTTTCACTTCCTCTGGCTCTTAGCAAAACCCTGGGAACAACAACAAAACACAGGGCAGTACAGAGCAGAAACAGAGGTGTCTCAGACACGAAGCTGCCCGATGGCAACAGTGGAGCTGAGAACAGGACCCCACCTCTGAGTCACTGTGGGTGGCAGTGGAAGGAGAGAACACAGCTTTCCCCTTTACTTTCCAAAACACCTCTGTTCTGTTTGTGTCTCCACAGGGCATGCTCACACAAACGTGTGTGTGTGTGTGTCTACCCATATGCGTGTGTCCCATGCACAGTCTCTCTCATAGACACAGATACAGATTCCAGGTTGTTGTATCTGGTTGCTTTCATAGGCCCATAACTGCACCCGGAAGGACTTTGAGAAAATGTATCCTGCGTTCCCCAAGTTCTGCGCCATCCGTGAGAAGCTGGACCCCACGGGGATGTTCCTGAACTCATACCTGGAAAAGGTGTTCTACTGAACAGGAACAAAAGCAAGCTCCACCTGCCACAGCATCCCACCCCTCCACCTCCGACCCCTGCCCTCAGGTGCTGGGCCTGTGGGGAGTACACCTCCTCCCCAGCCCCACCTTGTGGAGCTGGCCTCCCTTCCCTCGGAGTCCTCCACAGAGAGCGGCTGCCACCCAGAGCCCTGTCAAGGGCGTCCCCCCCACCCCTAAGCCTCTATCCTCTCTGCCCTGTAGAAAGGGGAGCCCCAACACTCTGCCAGCCTGGGAGGTCCAAGGTTCCACTTGGAAACAGATGTGAAACTTTAGGGTCTGTCACCTCGAGGGGAGTTCTGGAAGGGGGTCCCTTGATTGGTGTGGCCTGGCCTCGGTTTCTTTCACGCTCTTCTTTCTCTTGCCCTGCCTTTCTAAATAAATGCAATATCTCCACACAATGGACTGTTATTTGGTCTCACAAAGGAAATGCTGACCCAAGCTGAACACAGGTGAACCTTGAGGACCTCAGGCTAAGTAAAATAAGTCAGTTTCTAAAGGACAAACAGCATACGATTCCATTGACATGTGGTACCCAAAGTAGCGGAATTCCCAAGAACAGGAAGTAGGATGGAGAATGCCAGGCTGGAAGGAAGGGGAAGTGGGGACATACGGATTGGTGGGTAGTTTCCCTTGCAAAGATGGAGAGGTGCTAGAGGTGGGTGGTGGGGACCATGGCAAGAAGTGGCAGAACCACTGGACCCAGCACACCTACCTGGGCTGCACGGCTTCAGAGCCAGAAGCTCAGCCACAGGACCCTAGGCCATAGCCATGCGAGCGGCAGGGCCCAGGGCTTGATGTAAACCAAGACCCCTTGCTCCAGAATTCTTAAGAATGTCAAAGGGGAGTGAGGGGTGGTGACAGCAGAGTTCTCGGCCAAGCACAGAGTCCTCCGGAGCTCCACACAGGGTGTGCTCTACGCAGCCAGACCAGCTCCAAGACCAGCACCCAACATGCTTATATTTTAATGTTTTAGAGCTTTGGGTTTTGCCTTCCATTTTATTGTGTAAATGTGTTTCCAACACTTAAGGAAAGTTTCACTTTCTGCATGTTTAAGTGACATTTCCACTTCTAGAAGGAGCGACCACACTTGTATGGGCTGGCACTCACCCGTGCAGAGGAAGAAGGGACACAAACATGGCACAATGGCTCACGGTCGGACCCTTGAGGTCAAGAAAATTTTAATTCCTGCAACACTGAGGTCATCGCATTTTCTGGAAAATAGACTTAACCTGATTTGCTCTTTTGTGGTTCAGCCTTTGAATAGATGTGGTTGCAGCTTCCTTTAGCCGGGAAACTTAGGGTGTAGGGAGGCCACGCACTCTCGCTGTGGAGTCCTCCTGCAGGGTCCCGCGGACCCACCCACCGGCTCCAGGCTCCCTCAGGAGGGGTCTCCCATCCCTCCCGATCCGGCTCTCTCATTGATTAAACCTGAAGCATCATGTGCCAGCTCTGCCCCCTTGTGGCAGACACTTGGACTGCAAGCTGGGGCTCAACAGCGGAGCCTGCAGTTGAATTAGAAACTGCGTGGACCAGTAAAGAAAGGTGCCTCCTTGGGCAGATGGGAAACACAATCGCCCTGGAGCATCGGGGCTGCTGGGCCACGCGGCCCTCAGAATTGCACTGAAGGAGCGAGGTAGCCCACTAACGCAAACACAGCAAATTTCACCAAGTGGCAGCTTCTTCGCGTGGTGCTCATCTTGCTGCCCAGCTACAGAAAGAGGATCCAGGCAAGCTGTGAGGGTCCCAGAGGTTACGGGAACCGCACACTGCTCCAAAAGACTCCCCCAGCACAAAGATGTGAGGCACCAGAAAGTCCAGTCCTGGTGACCCCCACTTTACCACTGGGCGTCTGCAGTGGGGACGGCCCCAAGTGGGCACTTGCCCAGAAGGGGCAGGAGGATGGTCAACTGTTGTATCCCCAGGATCTGAGATAAGACTTTGTAGCCTTGGGCCCGGCAGTCGCCTAGTAGCTAAAGTCTTCACCTTACATGCCAAGATCCCAGATGGGCGCCAGTTCGTATCCCAGCTGCTCTGCTTCCCTTCCAGCTCCCTGCTGATGGCTCGGGAAAGCAGTGGCAGATGACGCAAAGCCTTTGGTACCTTGCACCTACATGGGAGGTCCAGAAAAAGCTCCTGGCTCCTGGCTTCAAATTGGCTCAACACCGACCATCACGGCTACTTGGAGAGTGAACCAGCAGATGGAGGCTCTTTTTTTCTGTCTCTCCTCCTCTCTGAATATCTGACTTTCCAATAAAAAATAAATAAATCTTTTTTTTTAAGACAAATACCATATTTAAAACCAACAGAAAAAAGACTTTGTGGTTGTGGTCAGGGAGGTGGGCAGGTGGAGCTGGCTGGGGAGGGACACGGCTCAGGAGCAGCGCCGCAGTCAGCACCTGCACAAGAACTCAAGATGCCCCCCTGACGGCAGCTGTTGGAACCCAGTGGCCTTCGATGTAAACTGCACAGCCTGCTGACCCTAAAGGACGAAGGGACCAGGAACGTCCCAGAGAAGGGAGCGCTGGCCACTGCGCAGAAGGAGTTCTGTAGGGGGACAGTTGGTCTCAAGAGCCTTTGAGCCTGAACTCAGGAACTAAAGTGGGGAAAGTATAAGCTCATGTCTCCACAATCTGCCTGTCTTGGTTTAGACTCTGGTTTTCTTTTCCATGTAACAGGATCCAAGCAGTTCTAGAAAATTCTAAGACAGTTACCAAAATGCTGGTTTATTTTATGCTTTTTTACACACCCAGAGGGAGACAATATTATGTGGTGTTCAAAGTGGTCGCAGGATACAGTTGTTACAGCATACACCAAGAATGATGGGCTGGTGATGGGATGTGGGTTTACATTTGGAAAATAAATACCTATGTTTGATGTTGTCGGTGTATCTTTGTGGCTTCCTATACCTAAGTCGTTTGCAAAACTGTCTGGTCTCCTTCCAAATGTGAGCTCAGAGTTCACGTTTTCCATATCATCCCCACGCCCATTGTCTGCCTCAACGTGGATGCTAGTCTCTGCTGGGTTGACCACCTGGGAGGGACTAGAGGCAAAGCTGAAGTCGCAAGAGACAGTCTGGGCCCCTTTCAAGGTCAGGGTCTTTGTTCCTCTCTAAGTACCAGATGGGAATAGGCAGTAAATGATGCTGTAGCTGTGCCCATAACCCTTGCCTAGCCGGACTAAGCCCCCTGCCTGTGCTGGGGATAAGCAGCTCTTGCTACAGACAACTTTTGGACTGTTTGTTGAGTGGACCCTCGGGGTTAGGGGACAGGGACAAACTGTAGTGTCCCAGCCAGCAGGGGGTGATGTAATCCAGTGATCATGATGGCAGCCCCGGGACCAGAGATGAAATAGATCAACATGTGAGAATTACCCAGAGGCCAACAGGGAGTTCATTATTAACCTGGTGCTCTGATATCCCTGGTTTGGTAATCATTGGTTCCGTGAGCAAACTCTGAATACTAGATCCTTCTTGCACTCTCTAGAGCTATTTTCTAGACCCTGGGTCTGCCAAACTGGTACAAGCTGGTACAGCTGGATAGAGGGGAGACAACGCTGTAGTGGGAACCCCCGGGAAACCCAAAGAAGGCCGTGGAGTCAGGCTCCATGCCAGCCCAGTTCTGCATGACTGCAGCTACAAATACAATTTGCGCAGCGTCCCTCGCATGGGTCATGCTTTACCCTCGTGCTCCCCTGTGGGTCGTGGCATCTGGAGCCGTCCTGGGCTCACACAGAGGTGTGAACGTGAGACCCCTTCACTCCTGCTCACCAGTGTTCTGTGGTCAGCAGCGTCCGAAGCAGATCCTTTTACTTCCTAGTAAAGCCCCAGTGACCTGAACTATCAGCTCGCTGTGGCTGTGGGTCTCATTTCCAGACCAGACTCTTCCCTCTGCCACCAAGGACTGGCCCCTTGCCCATCCTCAGTGCGAGCACTGTAGTGTTGTTCTGCACAGCCGAGCGACTTCCTGGCTGGTTTTCCATACTCAACGATGGGGGCTGCTAGGCATCAGGGTGGGGGGTTTGCACAGTCTGCAAATTTGATACTTTCCCAGAGCTGACTGTTCCTGGGAGGGAGTGAATGGAGCTCCTCCCTGGAGGGCAGATGTAGGGAACCTAGTGTTAGGGTTACACCGCAGGCGTCAGAACACTTGGATGTCCCCAGGGCTGTGCACTGCGCACCATCGGTGTCATGCCATCTTGCAGTCCTACCCAGGTGTCACACTACGAGTTTCTGGCACCTGAGTTCTGTGTCAGCACGGACCCAACAGCAAGTTTGGTGACACGCCAGGCGGATGCCAGAACCTTCTCAGCACCCCATGGCCTTGCTCTCACTTTGCTTGGAGTTCTACAAGCCCGAATCCGCAGGCGCACTCTCTGCAGCCTCCGGCCACAAACAGCTCCGTGTCTGCATGCCTTGGCCGTCTCCATCTTTCCAGTGTCTTGGCCTGGAATGTCTGCCAGGACTGGAGGGGACATCCAAGCGGGCAGAAGGGAGGAGACCCACCCTCTACTACATGAGAGTTTAAAGTAAATGCATTTTTTTAAAAGAAGAAGAAAAAGAAACATGACTGACAAAATGACTTCCAGAATCCAGCAACGTAACGGTGAGGGTGAGGATAGAACTTTTGAACCTTCTGTGACACCAAGGTCAATGTGGGATGAACAGGCAGGCGGTGAGCTGAGTGATGTTGGGCTGGAAGTCACTGCTTCCCTCTCCCCCAGTAATTCTATCCTTCTACTTGGCAGTCGAAACACCCTCCTTTCCCAGGATGTATGTGTTTCACCTGGGACTTACGCAGGGCCATGAAACAGGGCTGTGGGGCGCCACATGGGACTTGCTGGGGCACCATGGGATTACCAGGAGGCTTCACACCCAGACAGGCCCTGCCCAACCTCCTAAAGGTGAGCGACCGCTGGGAGGGCAGCGATCTCTCTCGCTGCCTCTGTTTCTCTCTGTCCTTGGCCAGAGTTCACAGTGCAAAGCCTGCCAGATGTTCTGTCACCCCTCCCCACTTCTTCTTTTTGGCAGATTCTGGCCACTGGCCGCTCCTGACAGATATTCTTTGTGTGGGGCTTCCTACGCTTGTATGTGTGTGTGTTCATTCACTCTCTCACCTTTCAAATAAATGTCATCACTTGGTGCGCCTTGTCAGTGTCAGCGCTTAAACTATGTGGGCCAGCAGCATGGCATAGCAGGCTAAGCCTCATAACTGGTGCTGACACTCTGTGTGGGCACCAGTCCCATCCCTGGCTTCCCTGCTTTCAATGCAGCTTCCTGCTAATGTACCTGCAAAAGCCACGGGAGATGGCCCAAGTCCTTGGGTCCCTGTAACCCCGTGGGAACCCAGAATGAGGCTCCCAGCTTCTGGCATCAGACCATCCCAGATCCAGCCACCATTGTGGCCATCTGGGGAACAAACAGATGGGAGATTGTGTGTGTGTGTGTGTGTGTCTGCCTTTCAAACAGAAATAAAAACATTTTTTAAAGTACAAAAAAAAATGTGAATCTTTGTGCACCTGTGAACTGGAGTAAGATCATCAATACCTCCATCCATTCACTGTGCTACGTGACAGTTGTGGTCATTTCAATAAAGCCCTTCCAGCTCTGACACACGTCACTGAGTGGATCACACTGACTTTACCCTGATTTTCCAGTGTGTGCAGCTGGCTAGGCCTCATGGGTGTGTTACTGCCGTGGTTTGTTACTCTCACTTGCACCTTGCAACAGAGAAGCGAGGAATGGTGACATAACAATCTACTGAGCTGGGCCCAGCATGCTGGCCTAGTGGATAAAATCCTCTCCTTGCACGCCCCAGGATCTCACATGGGTGCAAGTTCTAATCCTGGCAACCCCACTTCCCATCCAGCTCCCTACTGTGACCTGGGAAAGCAGTGGAGGACGGCCCAAAGCCTTGGGACCCTACACCTGCATGGGAGACCTGGAAGAAGCTCCTGGCTCCTGGCTTCAGATTGGCTCAGCTCCAGCTGAGTGGCCACTTGGGGGGTGAATCATTGGACAGAAGATCTTCCTCTCTGTATACCTGATTTTCCAATAAAAATAAATAAATCTTTTTTTAAAAAATCTTCTGAGTGAAGAATTCACATGTGAACATCACTACTAGCCCTGGGTGCCTCTGGATAACTTTCTCCCGTTTGCGCCTTCTGAAGAACAGAGTTCTACACTTTGAGACTGCAGTCACTGACAAGGCTTCGCACACGGAGCTGTGTAGCACTACTTGCCAGTGCCACCTTCTGGCAGCAGTGGGCACTACAGCCAAACTACCGTTCAGATTAAGCTCTGGGTGAGTCATCTAGAACAATCTAGGCAGACATCCCTGTGGTCTAGCGGAAAGATAATGAAGATTGCATAGATGGATTGTGGATAGATTTCACAGTCTAGAAAGTTCCCCAGACACAACTAAAAAGCAAGCAGCCTTGTGTGGTCTTTGGTGGCCTACAGTTCCATACAGCAGATACCAATTATGTGCGAAATTACCCAGTTGGCCTTACAATCATCCCGTCATCACTCTAATTTTCAATGCATTCTACCATCCTTGCCCCAGTGAGACTACGTCAGTGGTTTTTTACTGGAACGGAAAAATTTTCCCGTTCAGGAAGGCACTTCAGTAGGGCTGTTGGCACACACGCCTCTCTCCCTGAAAGCCAGAAATTCTGGAACTGAACCTCCGCATCACACTCCTGCTATTGACCACCAGGTGGCAGTCTCGAGCCTCAGCCGGTGTTTCACCATCTTTGTCCGTAGCAAGATGTGAAGGCATGCAGGAGGCACGGCAGCAGCTTAAAAACAGGAGCCCCGACACCGGGATGACAAGGCAGCTTTATTCAGTTAGTTGCATGCGGAAGCCGTCCTTCCCACAAGCGAGCGAGCTGGTCAAGGCAGGCACTAGCGGGCAGAATCCCGAGGGAGGAGGCACGGGGTGGGGCCGGGGCCTGGTCTCCTGGAGACGTGCAGAGCTCTCTCTGGAAGGGCATGGGGGCTGCGGCTCATCTCAGGGGGAGCTGGACGCGGACGCCCCCGTAGGTGGAAAAGCAACATTCAAAATTCACTCAGCTCTGAAAAACAAAAAAACAAGAGGAGGTGATGGGAGGGAAGGCTCAAGATCGTGGAGATGAAACAGCCAATTTATGTACTAGTAAAGATCATGGGTTAAAGGAAAAACAACTCCCAGTAACTCCCTGGTTTCGTCCTTGGGCTCCTGCCCCAGCAGCGACTAGAGGACACTCTGCAGGCGTCCTGCGGCTCCCAGCCACCGGTGAGGCCCCAGAAGGTGGCCACGAAGACCGGACCACTCACCGCTGCTTTTTGCGATATTCCTGTAGCGCCTTCTCCGCCACAGTCTCCATGAACTTCGGGTTGCTCCTGGAGACTTCCTCTGGAACCGTGACAGTGATGGGATCGGCGTCAAAGAGTTTCACGACCACCTCAGTGACGCGTGAGGGGGCGTCATCCTCGGAGGTGTGGGTAGTCACCTGGAAGAGGAAGGGAGGAGCTGAAAGCAGCAGCCCACAGGTGTGCACCGTGCAGCAGGAGTCAGGTGCGTGACCCGGAAGAACATCTGGGCGGCTGGACAGCTTCGGAGGACTGGAGACAGCGGACACACAGGCCTGCACTTGCTGCAGCCACAAGTGACCAGCCGAGGGGTGTAACCCAGAGACCAGCAACGGGTTCTCCATGTTGTCTCGTTGGGCAGACACTGACCAGGTTGGGGTAAATAAGGACTTTTCGGCTGCAGAAAAGTTTTTAGCATTGATTTCAAGCAATGCACCAGTTCATGATCTAGGCAGTTTGAGGAAAGAACCCGCTGTTTCTCAGGCCCCTAGGCCGTTGGCTTCCTGGCTCCCTCACAAATATGGCAATCTCAGGCAAATGGTGTGGTCCTTGCCCATACTCCAAAACTCCTCATAAGATGGAAATGTATACAAACAGTTGCTGTGCTGGATGGCTTAATCCATAAAGCAAAAAAAAAAAAAAAAAAAAAATCTACACACGCTCAGGAAAGACACTGCATTTCTTTTTTTTTTTTTTTAATGATTTTGATCAGCAAGTGATTAAGCCTGAGCACGTGGGGCTGTGTGGATACAAAGGGTGCTCTCCGGGCTCTGCAGCCTGGCAGACAGGCTCCACTACCCAGGCGAGTCAGCGTGCTGAGTCACCCAGTCAGGTGCAAACTGCAGAACCTGTCCCCCTTTCCATGGGTACAGTGAGGTTGAGTTGAGCCCTTTGGGTGATGCGGCAGGGGCACCCCAATGGACACAGCTGTCCTGTTTCCTGCCATGCGATCGTATGCGCTCAGTGAGAAGCAAAGTGCCTTCCCTCAAGCCCTCTCCACTTCATCCTTGGAGCGAGAGGCACACAACATCCAGATCCTCACAGCACCCATCAGTGTGCGGCTGAGCCGTGACTCACCGTGGTGACACGGAGGTAGTAGGGGTCTTGGCCTTGTGTGAGGTTGGCAAGCTGGGACACCCAGTTAAACTGCTCGTTCAGCTGCTCCAGCAGGGCCGAGGTGTTGAGCATCTTGCGCTGGTAGGACTGCAGCAGATCGTTGTACCGCTTGGTCAGCTCCTCCGCGATGCGCAGGGAGTCGTTCAGCTCCTGCCGCAGCTGGTTCTGGGCCGGATTGTTGGCCGAGCAGTCTGCCCAGGGATGGGAAAACCAGACACAAACGAGGAGGGAAAAGTTCAGAGGGATCAAGACATCAATGTGAACCAGCTCTTAGGGCTGGGACCTAGCCAGGTGCTTGACTGTGAAGATGGTGGAAGATCCTGGAGTATAAGCTCCTGCTGTGAGATAGAATGCGGGTGCAAACTGAATCCCACCCTAATGCTGACGGGGCAAGGTGTTCGGGAGGTGATTCAAGTGTTATAGATAAGACCATCAGGTGCAGGCTTCACCACTGAACCCTCGTGGCTTTGGAAGATGAGGGGGAGAAGCTAGGGAAGCCTCCACCGGCAGCACCAACAGCACGTAAGGGTACTGGTTCAAGTCCCGGCTGTTCTGCTATCCAGTTCTCTGCTGATGTTCCTGGGGAAGCAGTGGAAGACAGCACAACTGCTTGGGCCCCAGAACCCATGTGGGAGACGCCTTCACCTTGGACCAGAACTGCAGGGTCATAATGAACCTCTTTTTCAAAAAGAAAGTTAATGTGGTCAAGTATTCTTGTTATAGCAACAACAAAAAAAAGGACAAGCACAGTTTGTTATCATTTGTGACAAAATAAGGAATTTGCCTCAGAATGAGAATCATAATACTGTTTCCTATAGTAAGAAAATTTTGTCCTTGGGAAAAAAGTCTGCTGAGCTAAATCCTTGCCTAGTGACGTAACTGATCTCTCTCTGGATGCCAGGCCCTCACAGCCTTGGACCTGGGTACAAAAACTGCTGACCACACTGTGAGAAGCCGATCTACGTCCTCAAAGCCAAAGCTTTGCTGACGCTTGCAGTCCTCCTCCCTCCCAGGCGTCATTTCTGTGCGTCAAATGTGCCACTTAGGGGGCACCTGCTGCATCCCGGACACCGCACTGGACACCACATCCGGCGCTCTGAGTGACCCCTTTCTCAAACAATCAATGCTACTCCTATTTCACCAACAGTGAGACTGGGGTCCATAAAAGTAACTCGCCCAGAGCCAAAGAAGCCAGGCTTGAACCCAGGGCTTTAACGACTAAACTTGTACTACTCTTATGCAAGAGCTGTGCTTCTGGAACATTCTCCCAGATTGTGCTCTAAGCATGTCTGCTGAGCTGACGATTCTGGTCCCTTCAAGCCACAACATCCAGCCCCTGGTGATCGCAAGCCCTTGCCTGCCCACCTCACACCAAGGCTGGTAGCAAGCTCGATGGGAGAGTGAACACAACTGAATTATTTTCCTTTTGGTCCTCAAGGGTCCACCATGGGTTGTCACACTTACAAGAGTTGAAAATTGCCCCTATCTCTTAAAAAACTACTGCTTTTCTCCTTCTAAAGGATTTGAACAATGTCTAGAGGAGGTTACATCAAATTCCTGTGAGCCATAGGAAAAAAGAAATCTTCAGAATAGTGAGTGCAATTGTTCATATCACAGACAAGTGCTACCTGGAATAAGAAGCAGGGTAACTACCAAGAAGCCAGGTTGAAAAGAAACATGTAATGTGGGGGGGAGGCCATTGGGCACGCCGGTTAACATGCTGCTTGGGACCCCCACGCCCCGTATCAGAGTGTCTGGGTTCATGTGTTGGGTTGGCACAGCTGCCCTGATCCCAATTCCAGCTTTCTGCTAACACACACCATGGGCAGCGGTATGGAAGAGCCTGATGGAGTCCCAGACTCCTGGTTCCAGCCTGGTCCAGTCCCTGGTTTTGCCAGCAATTGAGGAAACAAACCAGTCCCTGGGAGAACTCTCGCTGTCTCCCTGCTTTCAGTTAAGTTAAAAGAAATAAATTAGAAGCATGTAATGAATATCCTTAACTCTACTGAGTTATAATTAAAAGCTTTAAAATAATTAAAAGACAAAGTCCTTGAGAACAGAGACTTGTCTACAGATTCTCAGTCTGGCAGTGCTATCCGCCAGGGGACACTTGGGAAGCTCTGAACACATGTGGATTTTTTTGGTTGGGAGGTGGAGCTGCTGGGATTGAGGGAGACAGGGGCCAGAGAGGCTGCTCAGCATCTTACACTGCTCAGGACACACTTCCAAGACAAAGAATCATCTGATTCCACAGGTTGGCAGTGTTGAAACAGATCTCGTGTTCACTTCAGCAGCATATATACTAAAAGTAGAACAAGACTGAGATCCCCTGGTCTACAACTCCTTACAGATACCGGATCATGAGGTTACAGGGACCATAATTAAGAGCAAGTCTAGGGCCCAGCGCAGTGGCCTAGCAGCTAAAACCTTCACCTTGAACGCACCGGAATCCTGGCAGCCCCACTTCCCATTCAGCTCCCTACTGTGGCCTGGGAAAGCAGTCAAGAACAGCCTACAGCCTTGGGACCTTGCATCTGCATGGGAGACCTGGAGTAAGTTCCTGGATCCTGACTTCAGGTCGGCACAGCACTGGCCGTTGCACCCACTTGGGAAGTGAATCATCAGAAGATCTTCCTCTTTGTCTCTCCTCCTCTCTGTATATCTGACTTTGCAACAGAAATAAATAAATCTTAAAAGAGAGAGAGTGAGAGAGAGAGAGAGAGCAAGTCTACCTCAATTCAGAAGTGAAAGTGACTGTTTTTTGCAAAGCTGTAGCTGAGGACCAAGAAGTCCAACATGAGAGGTCCAATTGGAGCCAACACACCTGCTACTCTTCTGATCCCAACGTAACTACTAACTTTCTTGTGGTGAGATACTATGTAATTTATGCTAGCCTATAATATCTGTGTGTGAAAAGGCCAAGCACCTTGATTATATACCCATTTAAAACTTCGTACTTCAGTCTCCTAACACACTAATGTTTATTTTGCATTGGCTAGGAATAATTAACTAGATTCTGAGGGCCTGCCCAGGCAAACCCAAACCTATGAAGTAAGCACAAAGCCACAAGATTGATAAGCTGGCTGCAAGGAGGAAAAATTAACTCCTGATCACAGACTACCACGTACCAGAAACTAGTCCTCAGATTTGTATAGCTATAGCTACCATCTAGGAGAAAGAGCTGAATAGATCACCAGATCTGACACGATGGAAGGGAAAGTCAGAAGGAACTACCTCCTTTGCCCAGGGACAAACCAACCTAAGAGGTGCCAAAGTGCTGAATCAGTAGTCCATGTGCCAGAGAATTTAGGGACACTGTGGAAAGAAGTCAGTCCACTGTCTGCAAACACACCCACCCAACCCCTGGGTTGGAATTCCAGGTCACGCGCTTGGGAATGATGTAATATGGTCATTCTTCCTTACCCTTTCTGTGACTGAGCTTCCTTGTTGCTGACACAGGATCAGTGGCTAACCCCAACACACAGGGTCACTGGGCAGAGCACAATTAAGTGCCTAGGGGGAGCTTAGAACAGTACCTGCACATATGATTATGATTACTCAGTGAACAGGATGTTCGCTGAAATGTTATAATCTGAGGATGTCTTCTGCACTTGACACTCAGGAGCAGAATAACTGGGGTGGGGAGCGGGAGGGAGGGAGCGGAGGCAGGAAGGAGGCAGAGATCAAGGGATGATGGGCATCATCTTTCGGGATCATGGATGAGTTCTTTTGTTTTGCTTTTTGTTGTTGTTGTTGTTGTTTTTAAAGCACAGCAGCACCCACCCTGAACCATCCGTTTTCCAGGAGCTAGATGTGGCATGGGCATATCACCTATTTCTCACCAACTTCAGACAGTCCTGCATCTTAGCCTCATTCTACGGACATGGACCCCACTCTGTTAGGCTAAGGACCTGATACTGGGCCACATCTTGGGGACTAGAATCTGAATTCCCATCTGTCTGAACCCCCTAGAGCAGGCCCAGGGAGGCCCAGGCGGTCACAGGGGCAGCTGGCAGCCTGGAGCCCAGCCAACTCACCCACAGACAAGATCTCCTGGCACTTTTCACACTGGTCCTTCATCTTCAGGCAGCCTGTGGAATTGTGGCGGATCTCTTTGCACACAGTGCGATCATCGTTGCCTTCTGGAAACACATAAGAAGAGAAAGTCAGACGAAGGTGTCCAGTGCCAGAGAGGCCAGCCAGCATCATGGACCTCTCTGAACCCTTCTGCATGGCTGTTTTGTCCTTCAGGATGGTCCAGTGGTCAGACTGGCTGCAATTGAGTCCTCTGCCTTGCCTCATCTGTGAGCTCCCTGGCAGCTGTTCCTTTGACCCCTCAGCTGAATGTGGATTCCCCTGTCACTGTCTCCATCAGAGACCTCCTCTGCCTCCTCATTCCACCACAATTTGCTCTTCTCCTTGGCACTACCATGCATCAGTTCTGTCTTCATTCAAGCTCTCTATTTTTGCCCAAGCAATCAGCGTGCCCATGAAGGTGGGAGGGAACACTCCTGGCCAACCAAGCACAGGGGAAGGAACTTGTTCCTAAAGGCATTGCCTTTCCCTGCCTAGTGTTCAAAAGGTCCACACTGAGGGCACATTCTGTTTTCAGTTCCAAGGCTCCAGCCATACACAACTGGCCTAGGTGTGAGAAGGGCTGATGATGGAATCTGTCACCCACAGATGCATGGCTTGCCCACAATGCCACCAGAGTGCCAAAAGGAGGGAGCTCTGATTATACAGGAGGATCAGTGAATGTCACAGCCATCAACTGCTCAAAGGGACACAGGCGACTGGAAAGAACGCTGTCGGACTGGCTTGGGCTGGGTCCCACTTTCTCAGCTGTGCAACCTGGGATGCCTTCCTTTGCCACTCTGACTCTTTTCCCCCTCTAAGTGGGGAGAACCCTACCCTCCCAGATGAGGATTCTGGCTAGGCAACAATGGGCACTGGGACAAACTGAGCTGTTCTGCAAACTGCCAGCTCGCAGAAGGCAACTCTCTCACCTGGGATAATCTCCATGTTCAGGCCCTGGTAGTTCGGGCTGTGCAGTTGGACATCCATAGCCTGCTGGGCCTGGTGGATCAACTCAAAGAAGGGTTGGAACATGTCCTGGAAGTTCAAGGGGCCGTATGGGGACAAAGGCATGATGTGGCGGGCAAGGCGAGACTTGGGATAGAGGAAGGAGGGCCTCCTGCGGGGGTAGCCAAAGGGCGAGTAGTGAAACATGTCCTGGGGCTGGTGTGTGAAGAACCGGTCCTGGAAGAGCTCATCCATGATCCCCGTGGCACGACTGAAGCTGTCCTGCATGATGTCCAAGAGGTGACTCTGCTGCCTGTCATTCTCCAGCAGGGAATCGATGCGGTCGCCGTTGATCCAGAAGTAGAAGGGAGAGCTTTGGTTCAGGAACTCCTCAAGCTGGGACAGCCCAAGCAGGTGCAGTTAGGAGACACACAGCAAGCCCACAGCATCCCCCTGCTCCCCGCAGGGCCTTCCTCTAGGCCACATGGGCCAGGCTCTATGTAGCTACCAGTTCAAGACCCAACCAGCCTGCAGATGGCCAACTGCCAGGACACTGTCCCCGTCTGCTGCCTTCCCTGGGGGAGAGTTTAGAGATCCCAATGAGGCCATCTCTGGTCACTGAGGACACCCCCTCCTGGCATGCTGAAAATCAATGTGCCTTCAGGAATATGAATTGCATAAAATCACCAAACCCTGAAGGCCCACGGAGGAGAACAAGGTTAATAATAATGTGTTAGAAACACTTAATCCCCTCTGCCTAAGTAAACATAGGGCTCTGCCACACCCTGAAGCTCTCTATTAAGTTATCCAGAAAATCATTTCTGAACAAGAGCCTTGAAAGCGATGACAAGTATTTGCCATGCATACTCCATATATCTGTACGCATGACTCATCAGTCACAGCACTCTGGGCCCCCATGCAGCCAGCCAGGCCCAATCAATCACATTGACAGTGAAGCCTATTTCACTGTGTTCCCCTCATTCTCCATGGACAGCCTAAGCCACCCGTGTATTTTCTTTTCACCTGGTGGCCAACCGCGCCTGAGCCACTCCTGCAGACACGGGCGTAGAACTTCATGCAGGTCTGCTTCAGGCAGGGCTTACACTCTTCCCAGAGGGCCATCATGGTCTCATTGCACACTCCTGGGAACGCCTTCAGCTTCATTTCAGAGTCCCGGGTTTCATTAAGGGCATCCTACAGAAGACAAGAGGCCAGTGGGATGCCTGCAGAGACCACAGGCTCTGCTCTTCCTGAATAAGTGCCATTCTCCTGGGCCCTCCACCCCATCAGGCCTCCTCAGGGGCTCCCCAATGGGCTGACCTCTACCCCAGCTCCAGTTCACACCACCTTCTCACTCACGTGCCTGGACTCCCAGCCCACCAAGCTTTAAGCATCTCTCACCCTTCATGATCCAGTTAGTTCGTTGCCAGGTCTCCTGTGCACCTGCAGCCCTTTGGATCATCCCCTCCGACTTCTGCTCTTACATTCTTTACCCCATGAGTACCTCATTTTCTCTAATCTCTGCTTCTATGTCCAGGTGCCAGCCCCCAAACTAGACCATAGGCTCCATGAATCTTTTTTCCTATGGGAAACATGCCCCCTAGCATAGATGAAGAATCAGCAGGCTTTCAAAGCCAATGTCACATCAACTACCACAACTCCGTAGCCCATGTCTTGTGACATTTGACACAATCATTGTGTAAGAAGCTATTCCAAGAGTCTCACAATTTTAAAAAGTCCTTTTGAGTAAAGGTGTTGGTTATGGTACTGGTTTGTGACTAGTCGTGAAGCCACACAGATGCTCAAAAGCAAACACATAAATTGTGTAACAGTAACAGCAATTCCTCCCCACCCCCATCAGCAGTTTGGCCTTCCGCAACTTCAGCTATCTGCAGTCAAGCATGGTTCCAAAGTGTTACTACAGTTCAATCAGAAATTAAGATATATTGTGAGAGATTGCTTCCACTTAACTTTTATAATGGTTAACTGCTACAATAGTTGTGTTTTATTATCGCTTGTGCTGGTCACCTGCTGGGGTTCAATGAATCTGAACGAGACTCCAAGGCGAGTGAAATGATTTTCATTTCTAGTCAAGGGACAACCCCTTGCCATAAGCAAGAAGCACTTCTAACAAAATAATGGTGGAGTTTTTAGTCACCTTTATGATTAACCCTTTCAGTCACCTCTCCCTCTGCCAATTTTATAAGTTGAACTTTGCCACTGGTACACATAGATAGGAAAAACACAGCCTATGTCAGGGTCAATCCCATGTGTGGTTGTAAATATTGACCTGAGGTCTTGGAATGCAAGCATCCCCTATGGATGATGGGGGACCACTACCGTATAAAGCTGGACATGGGGATCACTGCAAGGAGCGCTTACACATTTGAAATGTTAAACTCGGTGTTTCAATATTAAAAACTCATGATCTTGGATATAATCAACATCAAAAAAGAACAGAAAAGAAGAAACAGACCAAATATGAAAAGCTTCCGAAAGGAAAAACACCATCGCTCCCCCCCAACCCCTGCCGCCCCATCTGTGGTCTAACATGGAGCCGGCACGTTGTCGGGGTTTAGAAAAACCCACTCAAATGAATCTGGGCATCCGGCCCTAGGCCAGGACTATAAAGAAACCAGATCCAAGATTTCACTCTCCTGAAGCTTTCAAAAGCAAATAATCCTTCCGTTTTTCTTAACCACGGTCCCGGGATCAGCTGACACAGTCCTGGGAGGACCGCAGGTCCCCATGGCAACCCAGCAAGGTACCCTGAGATGACCCCTGCCTCCTGTCCAGCAGGGTGGTTGCGGCAGGACCCGGGGTCACCAGTGTAGCCTCACCTCTTTGTTCTTCTTGGCTTCCTCCAGGATGCCGAGCAGCGTCTTATGCTCTCGGTTCGTTTTTTCTATCAGAGTCTTTATCTCCTGGACACCCTTGACAGCATTTTGGATTTCCTTGTCAATGTATTTACTCCCTTGAGTAGACATTTCTGCCAAGGAAAGGGCAGGGAGAAGCATGAGGAGAGAGGAGCAGATGTTGCTCTGCACGGAGCCGCACAGGTCGCACAGGGACCACCCAGAATGAGAAGCCCCCGGCCCCTAGCAGGTCGCCTCATGGCCCCAGCCTGGCTCTCAAACCAGTTCCTATCACAGGAGTCACTGTCTCTCAGCCCACCTGCTCAGAAATACAAGCCCAGGAGCTGGCACAGCCTGGAAAGGGGGTAGCAGCCAGCACCAAGCCCAGCCAGTGCTGGAGAACCGGCCTGGCCACAAAAGAAGGAAAAAGAAAAACACAGAAATGTACATTTTCATGCATTCAAATGCTGCTGTTTGGAATACAGATCTTTCTGCAATCTAGTTGAACTGAATCGCTTCTCGGCCTTTTGGCTAAGATCAAGTGTAGTTGAACTGAACAGCTGTCCTTTCTTCCAACCTGGTCACAGGGACAGGAGAACGAATGAATGACACAGGACCAGGCAAGAAGCCATCACATCACCTGAGGACTGCACACTTGGTGCTTAGCACATGCCAAACACTGTGCCAATGGTTCTTCTTCAGAAGCCTAACATTGTGCCCATCGCACAGATGGCTAACAAGCAGTACAGCAAGGGAATTGCCAGGCAAAGAGGACAAAGCGTTGGTTACCCAGGACGGGTTAGACCTGGAGGGGCCTGTTATTATCCTTGGAATTCACTGACACAATTGCTCTTAAATGTTCTCATCACCTTATCAGGTGACCAAGGTGGTCATCATTTCACAGTGTGTGTCATGCTGCATCTCACACTCCATGTAACTTTCACTTGTCACTTACACCTCTGTAAAGCTAGTGGGCTTTGGAGAGTGCAGGGTAGTAAGATTAAGACTGTTGTCCGGGGTTCACAACTGGGATGTGACAACTGGCCCCATCTCCAGGCCTGGAATTTTTCAGGATGACCCTGCAGAACTGGTCAGCGGGCAGGAGAAAGGTGGTGGGATGAGGGTCAGGGTCTCTTGGGGGGAGGTCCCAAGTTCTCATATGACCTGGCCTCCTCTCTACTGCCGAGAACATGAAGCCTATGTTCTGGACACAGGGGAGACCAACAAAGGTACAAATGCTCCTTCAAGAGGAGGCCTGGGGGCTGGGCCAAGACGACAGCTAAACAGAATGCAGCCATCAGGCAGTTCCTGGAAGGTGCCTGCCAACTCCTAGAAGTGAACCTGACCACCAAGGGCTTCAACTAGAGAGCCAAGGAGCAGACCAGAGGAACCCAGAGCTAGGGCACAAGATGCACATGGTCTTGCAGACCAGAGGCAGAATGGCTGGAGAACATTGCAATAGGGGGCACAGCTGCCCTCAGCTGCAACCTTATGCTGTGGCCTGAGGACCCCATTCCCATGCCTGCTCTACTTACCCTGCAGCTCATTTTCAGAGACCACCTGGTCTCCCAGGACCTGTGCCTGCTCCCATGTCAGCAGCAGCCCCACACACAGCAGGAGAGTCTTCATCTTGCCACCTCCTCTGAGTCTGGAATCCCAGCAGACCTGCGTTGGGAGAGATCAGGAGACAGGCATGCTACTTATTGGCTGGGCAGTCTGCTGGTTTCCTGCCCAGCAGCTGCTGCCCAGAAACACAGAGGAGGTATCGCCTCGGTTGTTCCCTCCAACAAGAACAAGTGCATTTTTATCCCTGCGGAAGTTCAGAGCAAAGATCAGACTTAGCCCTTTCACAACTTCAAAAGGAAGTGAAGGCAGGTGGTGCGGGGAGGAGGCACAAAGCAGCAGCACCGGACAGAGAAGCAAGAGCCCTGGAGTCGCAGGCCAGTGCTCTGCAGGTCTTCCCCTGCCCCATAAGAGCTGTCCAAACTGACTGTACCCTGGCCTCGTTATCCAGAGAGTACTCCTCATATCAAATGTCCAAAACACATCCTTTGGATCAATCATCTACCCTTTCCATGACCTCCCAGCCCCACAAGCTTCCTACACCCAGCCAAATCCCCCTACAGTGTACACAGCTCCACCTGACCCATAGCAGACATCACCAACCACACGCTGAATCTCAACACCACCTAACTAGGATTTTTAAGAGTCCAAGGCAGTAACAGCCAACCCTCTTGAGAAATGAAATCCAGTTGGGACTTGAGACAAGCTGCACATGGATTCAGGAGTATTGACAAAGAGTAGAGCAAAGAAGGGAGAATCATCTTCTTCAAGGAGTGAAGTAGGGAGAGTGAAGGAAGGGAAAGGCAAAGTTCAAGGTTAATAGTGAACCTGGGGCCTATAGTGCAGAGCATTGTTTTAGTCCTGGCCACTTCGCTTCTGGTCCAGCTCCCTGCTAATGTGCCTGTGGGACCAAAGGAGGCTGGTCCCAGCACTTGGATTCTGCCACCCTGAATCAACTTCTAAGACTTGTGGCTCCAGTGTGGCCCAGCCCCTGCAGTTGTGGCCATTCGCAGAATAAACCAGCAGATGGAAGATCTCCCTTTGTCTCTCCCTGTCTCTCTGTGACTCTGCCTTTCAAACAAAAATAAATCTTGAGAGGGGAAAAAAAAAAAAAATGAATCCCAGGAGCAGATCAGGCCCCCTTGGAAAGTCCCTGTGGAAGATCATGCCTCTTTACTTACAAGCTCCCTTTCACAAGGCCCATTCCCTCAAGGTCTGCCAGGGCATCCCTGCTCTCAGCCAGCTGCCCCAAGCCCGAGTCTTACATAACGGACCCTTTCCCAGAAGCTCAAGTTGTTACATAAAACAGAAATCCCTCCCCCTGCCCATCCACCCCTGCCCCCAGCCAAACTATTATCTGCTCATAACAGAAGAAACCCAGACGTGGGGTTCCCATCAAGGAGATGGTTCATATCCCAGAACTGCTTAGCTGAGCAGGCCCATATGGATACGGGGGAGGGGGGGACATTAGCAAGGCCAGCCTCTGATGAGATGCCATTAGCAGCCCAGAGCACGGGAGAAGAGAACAGGTCAGTGCCTTCCTGGCTGACGCGTGGGCGGCCAAGCCAGGCACACCTGCAGGCCTGCTGGGAAGGCCGGGTCTCACGGGCTATGCCCTAGCTACTCACTCAAGCCTGAAATGCCTCCGGCAGGGACAGAGCCTTTGTCACACCAGACAGATGAAAGCAACCAGGAACAGTGCTCCTGAGAAATTCCCAGACAACCTGGAACACAGATTGTTCCAGGAGCCAGGTGTGGGTCCCTTAGGTCAGAGCACTGCATGGGATCTGCAGGTGGGTAAATGCCCAAGATCTGTTGCTGACTGGACAAGGGGGGCACTCTCCTGCCTGATCTCAAGTCCAGAGCCAGAATGGGCCTATAGCAAACTGGGCACAACCCTCAAATTAGAGCCCCACCTCCTCACCTCCAGACCCAGCCGCCTGCCTTGTCACCAAGTCACATCAGCCTCTGAAACTGGGACTTACTGTCAAGTTCAGAAACACGGACATGTTCTGTAGACAGTCTGAAGTCCTCAACACGGGATTGAGGACTGACCCTCAGCCTTGATAAGACCTAACTGGGGCTTCTGGAGAGAGGCAGATACACAGCGAGGTGTCCTTGGACTGTGAGGCTTAGTGTTGGGGGCATGGGAGAGCTCCTCCTTAAAGCACCTCAAAGCTCTCAGAGGCCTTGTGATGACGCTGAATCCAAGAATGGATCCGCCTAGCTCCTGGGCTTCCTGCACGGCCAGTGCAAGTCCAAGCAGAGTATTTGAACAGCAGCTGTCCATCTCGACCGCCCACCCGCTGCCCTCACTCACTGACCCTCTCATCCTGCCTGGGGCTGGCCTGAGCCCTACTCCCAGGGTCAAGTGGCTCCAAAGGGCCATTGCCAAAGCCAAAGGTGACCCAGCCAAAGGCTCAGAGGCACTAAACAATCCAAGAGGGAGCAGGCGGAGCTGTAGGGAGGAGTGACTGACAAGGCACAGCCTCAAGGCCAGAGCCCCAGCTCCCAGGCCACTGGCCCCTGCCTGCATGGGAGAATGCTAACCCTAAAAGACACTCTGTGTGACCCGTAACACACACACACACACACACACACACACACACACACACACACACACCGGTGAATGTCAGCCCTGGAGTCTATTTTTTTGTGTGTTTTTGACAAATAAATTCCCATTTTGGCAAGGTCAGGCATTTAAATGGTCTCAAATACCCCACCCATTAGATATTATTATTACTTAAACTCTCCGAATAAACTTTCTTAGGATTTGCACTTTTTAAAATATTTTTTTTAATCCAAATAAATACCTTTCACTAAAGAAAAAAAGAGAGATATTATTAGGTACGCAAACTGTGTGTTGTCACATTGGTTTTGAAATTCTTAGGCTTGCTCTTTAAAAAAATAATAAAAATAATAAAAGTAAAACAAAAAGTAACAAGAAGCCACTTCTTGTCCTGACAAAACCCAGACATTCTGTAGAGTCAAGGGCTTCGGTTCTCAATGGGTGATTATCTGATGTTAAGGCTGGAAACAGAAGTCCTAAGGCTCCGCGGAGCCAGGAGCCTAGCTTATCATCCGTAAAATGAGAAGGTGGTCTGAGCAGACTGGAGCCTTGGCGCCTTTCTCCGGCGGCTTGGCTGCATTTAAAACTACAATACAAGCAGGCTCGAGGCGGCCGCAATGTATGCACTACATCGTACTTACAACGCACCCGCAGGAGTACGACAGCGCCCGGGAGAAACCATGATGACTCATGCGAGCAAGCCAGCAGCTGCCACCGACAAAATCGGTACCTTCGCAGCCAGAGATGCTGCGGAAGGACCCACGCGCAGGTCGGCTCCGCCACCGGCGGGACCCTGCGCTCTCCAAATCTCGTCCCCGTCTCCCAGTCTTTGAAAAAGAAGGGTTATTACACCTGCCCAATGGACAACCCCAACCCTGTGGTTGGAGCACATATCTCCAGGGAGTCCTGGCTCCCTGAACGCCACCCCCGGCCACTCGGTCCCCTGCGCAGCCGTTGGGCATAGGGCTGCGGCCATCTCTCCTGCCTGCCTGGCTGTCATCTCTGCCCTCCTGGCTGCCACCCTCGTCCGCCCACCTGTCCAGCTGTGGCTCTGAGCAGGGCCAGGAAAGATGAAAACTGCTCACCGGTCAGCGGCGCCGGCGCCTGTGCGCTCCTCCTGGCGACGCCGCGTGGTGAGCAGAGTGAGGCGCCGTATTTATAGCGCTTTGCTCGCGTACACCCCCTTCGGGGCTGGCTGCAAACCTGCATGACTCAACGCCCAAAGAATGCCGTGGAATGCAACGAGAGCCTTCTGGAAGCTGGGAGTTGGAGGGGGAGAGGAGGGGGGCGCTCCGGGGTGTATGGGGAGCTGCCCGCATGGACATCGCAAATGGTCTGTGAACCTGGGTGTCGCCTAGCACTCACCCGGTGATCCGGGGAAGCTCAGAGCCAGGGACTTGGAACACAACATCTGGGCTCCTGTGTCCATCTGGGCATCCTCTGCACCGGAGTGGGATAGGAGGAGGCAAAGACCATCTCACAGTTCCCCATGAAAAATACCTATTTCAATGGGGTGGTATCAGGAATGATGTGGGCGGGGCACAGACAGTGGCCTTGTGCTTCAAAGAAAGCCGTCAGGTATTGGACTGCCAAGGCTCATTGCACGAGGCAAGGTGGTCCCTGACAGACCCACTTCTCTTGGAGAAAAAAGAAATGAATTTAATTTGAAAAGCATGTTTTAGGGGAATGAGAGGTTTCTTCTGGCTCCCCAATAAATATACTTCCCAGCCACTTAGGTACCAGCCAAGCAATGTGGGCTTCGTGGGGTGGGATCCAAGCTTGGTTTGTCACAAGCCCTGAGTGTTTTTTGCAGGAGGTGGGGGGGGGGGGGGGGGGTTGAGGGGCAGACTGTATTTTCCTCTTCCATGCTGGCCTGACAATTATGCAACAGCATCTGTATCTTTAGGGACCCAGTAGCCTCCAGCTGCCCCAACTTTCTGCTGTCAGCACTACCCCAGCCTCTGGTGCAGAAGGGACAGGACAGGGAGCCATCAGAAGCCTCTGAGATGCAGTCACTTCTTGGGGAAGGAGCCGAGCTTCCTGCTCCGGATCCCCAGGACATCTGAGCTCCAGGAGCAGGGACAAGGAGACCTGCCCTGATGGCTGCAATCAGGCTCGTGGGAGTCAGGTGGACCCCACAGGGATAGGTAGCTTGATTTGGGGCAGGGGCGGCTTTGGAAACCAGCATAAAACAAAATGGCCTAAAGAACAGCAGGATACCAGTGGCCAGGGCCGCGTTTCCCTAGTAACCTTTGTACAGTGCAGCCAGGAGGCTCAGTCCCTGGCTACCCACAGTCCAGGAGCCACCAGGACCCTACTTGTGGTAAGGTATGGCCTGTAGGGAGCTGCAAGGCATGCCCCCAAGTGTGGGCTGCATGCTTGCGGGCCTTGCAACAGTTCCAGCTGGACCTTGTAGCCCAGGTCTGATGGGACCAATCGCTTTGACCTCCCAGCCTCAGCTTCTGCCACCTGCACAAGCAGGTGTCTTGACATCTAAACTAAATGTCTGAGGTCCCCAAGTGGGAGAAGATCT